CTTCTTTGGAAGCTTTTAAACAGAAGCTGGATGGCCATCTGTTGAGGGTATTTTGATTGTGTTCTTTCTGCATGGCAGAGGGTTGGACTACATGGCTCATGTGGTCTCATCCAACTCTGTGATACTAAGGACTTCATTACATGAGTCTTTGCAATTGTCCTAGGATGCTTGCAGCACATTTAATCTACAGGGTTCCATGCAGACTCACTTTCGGTGAGGCTAGATAGATGAATTGTGTCACAAGCATCCTAGGGAGCTCCGCCCAGAACATGGGAGGCTGACCCGTGTTCTGTAGACAGCAACTGGGCCAATGTGGGGAAAGACACACGGCAACTCTTCCCACGTGTGATGGAGAAGCTTCCCTGTGGGCAATGCAGGGAGATGGGATTACCCCACTGTCCTGCGGATTTGCCGCAGAGGCTGGTGAATCCCCCCACTGCCCCTCATCAATCTGATGAGGTCCTAAGAGGAAGGAACCTTGCCTTTTCACCAGATCACCTGGGGCAGGGAATGCCTAACAATCAGCTCTCAGGTGCCTGAAGAGTTCTTCTTTCCTATTCTCATGATGGACTTTCCCTTCTCCAAGTTCTTTGGCCATTCTATGTGATTCAGCAGCTATGCTTAATTGGTATGAAATAGTTGGCACTCACACAGCATATCCTTCAACTGCCTTGATTTGGAAGGGGCAATTGTAATGAATCTACTTTTTTTCAGTTACTTTTAAAATGTTCCTCTTTCTTACTCCCACTTTCCATTTTTCTTCTCAGTTGCTGCAAACTGAGTTCAAAGTACAAAATAGTCAAATAATGTGGAGGAGAAGAGGACGAGCATAGGGAGTGAAGTCTTGTTTTACCCAGTACAAGCAAACTGTTGCAGCCTCTCCTAGTTTGTGTGTACATAAATACAAAAAACATAAATACTGTTTGCCATGTTGACCACACTTTGATGTGGTTCTAGTTTTCATCTGTGAAATGTGGCAAGGCACAATAATATTTCCAGGGTGAAGGCAGGCATAGTACACCCATAAAGAAGATATGAGGAGTTTGTGTGTGTTTGTAAATCTATTCTAGTATATTTGCTGCCTTTCTGTCTATTTGCTCCACCTTTGCGGGTTTAACTTTTGTCAATTTTATTTGAAGATTTGATTAAAAGTTCTCCCTAGGTCAGTGTTTCTCAACCTTCCTAATGCCACGACCCTCATGTCATGGTGACTCCCAACTATATAAAATTATTTTTGTTGCTACTTCACAACTGTCATTTTGTTACTGTTATGAATCGTAATATAAATGTCCAATATGCAGGATGTATTTTCATTCACTGGACCAAATTAGACACAAATATCCAATACGCCCAAATTTGAATACTGGTGGGATTGGGGGGGGGGGGTTGATTTTGTTATTTGGGAGTTGTAGTTGCTGTGATTTATAGTTCACCTACAATAAAAGAGCATTCTGAACTCCACCAATGATGGAATTGAACCAAACTTGGCACAAAGAACTCCCATGACCAACATAAAATACTGGAAGGGTTTGGTGGGCAGCGACCTTGAGTTTTAGAGTTGTAGTTCACCTACATCTAGACAGCATTGTGGATTTGGACCAAACTTGGCACAAATACTCAATATGCCCAAATGTCAATACTGGTAATGTTTGGGGGAAAACAGACCTTGATATTTGGGAGTTGTGGTTGCTGGGATTTATAGTTCACCTCCAATCAAAGAGCATTCCGTACCCCACCAATGACAGAATTGGGCCAAACGTCCCACTCAAAACGCTATGACCAACAGAAAATACCGTGTTTTCTGATGGTCTTTGGTGACCCCTCTGACATCCCCCTCATGACCCTTCCAGGGATTCCAACCCCCAGGTTGAGAAATGGTGCTCCAGGTGTTTCTAGGTCTTTCAGTGCGACTTTGTGGTTAGGTTCTGCTGGATGTTGATCACAATATCACATTGGAGACCTAGATTTCTGGGAAACCGTTCTCTCAGGTCAAAAAAGACACCTTTCCATTTTTACGGGGTCCATGTGCTCCTTACTCCAGCAATCATGGAGGGCTGATGGTATCTGACAGCATTTCCACCTCCCCTCCCCAAACAGTGAGTTATGATCACCTACCCACCTGCTTCCCATAAGCAAGAGCTTTGCCATAAAGAGTGAGGCCTGCAGTCAGCTTCTCCATCTTCTCATCTTCATTCACGAGCCCAACATCAAAGGCATATGCATAACCTTGCTCAGCCAAGCAACGGGCCGTTCTGAGTTGGGGGTTGCCTTGAGCTCCATCTTCTGTATCTAAGCCCATTAAGTGGGAGAGGTTCTCTGTACATTTTGCCTCTTCATGCTCATCGTTCAGTCTGTCATAAACATAGGCCAGGTTGGCCCAAGCATTCAGGTTCTCTGGCTCTTCCTGAATGATGTGAAGAAAAATCTCCTTGGCTTTCTCTACCTCCTCCAGATAGAAAGAAAAAACCCCAAGAAGGTTCCTGATGGCATACTGCTGGGTGCTGGTTTCAGACTCTAGCTCATAGATAAGACTTTCCCGTTTCAGCTTCACATCTCTTCCTTGGAAATTCATTGGGGAAGTCGACTCAAAATTCAAGTTCATATCAAGATGGAAGTGACCTGGAATATAATCCATTTCATCGATCAGAGTATCAATGTCCACCTCAGTTTCCTCCATTTTTCCCTCCAGAAAGGCTGTCTGGTGCTCCAAGATCCCTCAAATAACAACTTGCACGGCTTTCATTTTCCTGGCTTTCTTCTCCTTCTCTGCCCTTTGAGTTTGTTTGCCTTTCCTCCACCTCTTTCTTCACCTGTATTTCTGGTTTAGCTGATTCACACGGTGTCTGCCAAGGGAGGAGCACACAAAACACTTGTCATTCCTTCCACTGTCAACTTGCTGGTTCAGAATTATCATTTGGTTAGTGAAGCACAGAAAACAGACAGACAAAAGCATTATTAAAGAGCAGTTAGAAAACCTCTAATAACTACTGAGCTGATTTCTGAAATAAGTCCTGTGTTGCGGGGTGGCTTTGATAGATTATGTGCTGCAATTTTTATAGTATATGCAGTTTAGTTCTGTATAAATCTGCAAACTGTTTAATTCTTTGTATTTGTGTTTGCAATATTCAGTTATAGGAGGCCTCAAAGAGTACTAGGAACAGGTACAAGTACTTGGGTGTAGATAGCAGAGTATGGGCCCATTAGAACAAACCTCTGTGGAAACATATTAAAGTTAGAGCCCCCGTTAGCACAATGGGTTAAACTCTTGTGCCAACAGGACTGAAGATTGACAGGTCAGAGGTTCAAATCCGAGGAGAGCGTGGATGAGGTCCCTCTGTCTGTTCCTGCTCCCCATGTGGGGACATGAGAGAAGCCTCCCACAAGGATAGTAAAACATTAAAACATCAGAACATCCAAGCGTCCCCTGGGCAACGTCCTTGCAGACGGCCAATTTTCTCACAGTAGAAGCGACTTGCAGTTTCTCAAGTTGCTCCTGACATGAGAAAAAAAAATTAAAGTTAAACCAGGAGTGTTCAAATTTTGTAACCTTAAGGACTGCAGCCAGGGTCAGTGGGTGCACAATCACTCACACAAAAGTTAGTGAAATCCTACTAGCATTATGCCCCACACAAGATGTATCTGCATTAAACCCACCATGTGGAGAGTTCAAAATACATAGTTTAGAACTGGGAGAGTTGATTGCACTTTGTTGAACTATCCATAATCTCTCTATATATTACAAGTCTACACTAGATTATGCATTTGGTTTCCAGAAACAATATAATACAGGTTTTCATTCACAGTAATTTCTTGGATCTGCACTACAGATCTTCCAAGGTTTGCTGAGGTGGTCCTATGTTCTGAAGAATATGTATTCTTCTCATTTAAAAAAAAATAGGTACAGAATCATAGTGCAAAAATGACATTTCACTGGTGCATTATAGTGCTATAGTGGAGATAAAATGGTCCAGTATTATTGGATGCATTTCTGAGCAACCTGAGAATGTGGACAGGATACTTGGGAAAGGTGACAGTCACCGCATGCAGAGTAGACCCACTACGATGGAATTCAGAGTCTCTGTTTTGCAGTGATTCTAGTCTTTCTTAGAAGGGTAGACTCAGAAGGTGGGGCTAGAGGATGACTATTTGACACCTTTGCCACTATCCAATGGTGCTTCTCAGTTGGCCCTTGGTTTCTGCAGTGATTTGGTTCCACGACCCTGCATAGATACCCAAATCCATGGATGCACAAGTCCCATTTTATACAGGTAAAGGTTCCCCTTTGACATTAAGTCTAGTCGTGTCCGACTCTGGGGGGTGGTGCTCATCTCCATTTCTAAGCCGAAGAGCCGGAGTTGTATGTAGACACCTCAAAAGTCATGTGGCCAGCATGACTGCGTGGAGTGCCGTTACCTTCCCGCAGAAGTGGTACCTATTGATCTACTCACATTTGCATGTTTCGAACTGCTAGGTTGGTAGAAGCTGGGGCTAACAGCAGGAGCTCACCCCACTTTCTGGATTCGAACCGCCAACCTTTCAGTCAGCAAGTTCAGCAGCTTAGTGGTTTAACCATCAGGGACTCCTATTTTATACAATATTATAGTAAAATCCTGTGCTTTGTATGTGCCTGGGAGATAGGCAGTACAGCTTGGAGGAAAGAAGGAAGATCAATGCAAGTGGTACAGTTTTAAAAATGGAAGAAAGAAAGAAAGAAAGAAAAGAAAAGAAAAGAAAAGAAAAGAAAAGAAAAGAAAAGAGACTCAGCAACAACCAGTTAGAAATTTCTTCAGAACATATACTTGTGTGCTGCTGTGAAAGATGAACAGCAAATGAATTGAATCACACTGGAGTGGACCTTTCCTTCCATACAGACTTGACGACAGATCCAGTACAAGCCAGTCCTTGTGAGCAGAGGACTGATCTGAATGCTTGCCCCTCCCAGACACAAAGAAACAGAAGTTCAGGCGTGTGGCATTGCCATGGCAGTGGGATTCCAGAACCCTTCTCAGCAGCAGCCTCCAATCAGGAAGGTGGCTCTGCTTCTCCTCCTCCTCTTCCTCCTCCTCCAGGCAGTAGGAGATGGAGCATGGAGCCAAAGGGCTTCTTAGGAGCCCCATTTGGGAGTCAAGCAGCCAGGTAAGGACAGTTTCAGCAATATGCAGATGTGTGAGGTTTTTTAAATGGTTATTTATAAATATCCACACCCATAGCATAATTTGTGACAAGGCTAATCGAGAAACATTCTTGAAAGATTACAACAAATTTTCGACGTGTAGTACACAAAAAGAACACAGGGATTGGAGACAATGATTGTGTTCTGTAGCAAGGTCCCAAACGAATGGATTCTAAAATAAATAAACATGTATTAAATTGTGGGTCAATTCGAACTTGAAAACAGCTGCTTTGCTGCACTACAATTGAAGAGAGATATTGACAAGCTGGAATGTGTCCAGAGGAGAGTGACTAAAATGATCAAGGGTCTGGAGAACAAATCCTATGAGGAGTGGCTTAAAGAGCTGGACATGTTTAGCCTGCAGAAGAAAAGACTGAGAGGAGACATGATAGCCATGTATAAATATGTGATGGGAAGTCATGGGGAGGAGGGAGCTTGTTTTCTGCTGCCCTGGAGACTAGGACACGGAACAATGGCTTCAAACTACAAGAAAGGAGATTCCACCTGAACATTAGGAAGAACTTCCTGACCGTGAGAGCTGTTCAGAAGTGGAACTCTCTGCCCCAGAGTGTGGTGGAGGCTCCTTCTTTGGAGGGTTTTAAACAGAGGCCGGATGGCCATCTGTTGGGGGTGCTTTGAATGCGATTTTCCTGCTTCTTGGCAGGGGGTTAGACTGGATGGCCCATGAGGTCTCTTCCAATTCTAATCCTATGATTCTATCCAGAGCAGGGATGGGGAGCCTGCAGATATTGTGATATAACAAGTGCTATTATCATGGAACATTTGGGGCTGACTGGATCTGTAGCAAATATCATGAAAGTTGGTGATGCTGGAAATCGTGATCCAACATATATAGGTTAGAGCAATGGTTCTTAACCTTTGGGCTGTGGACCACCAGTGGGCCACAAGGATGAAAATCTAGTCCACGAGCCTCCTTCCTCTTAATTTATTAATTTTATTTCCACATCTTTCGCATTGCCTGCCACTCCTTCCCTGTCACTGGCCAGTCCCGCCCACTTGGATAGACCACATCAACTCTGGATTAATAAATATGGTTTTCTGTGGGCAAGCAGATGGTGATTACTGGAGGGCATATGTTCTGTATCAGAAGCTAGAGCTGATGTGGTCTATCCAATGCAATTTTCTGAATCAGCACCCCAAATAACCAAACCAAATCTAAAGTTGACCAAAAGCTGATTTGATACTAATGTTGGGGAGTGGTCACTGGTCAAGTGGTCCCTAGTCAAAAAAAGCTTGGAAATCACTGGGTTAAAGAGCCTGGGCTAATTGTTTTGTAAACATTTGTGCTGCTTAATTTGATTGAAATAACAGTACCTCTTTCATTTCTATTTCTTTAATTAGATTTGATGTGTCGGCAATTTATCCAAATTGCAAGAGGCCAAGTACTTTCCTGCAAGCTCCGTATTCCAGGATAGTCTGTTCAGACTTGGTAAGAGCTTGTTTCACTGTATCTTATCTACACAAAATATTTGTTGTGTACATTGGTGAACAAGAACAGGTAACTGAGTGCTCCCCAGTAGGGTGGTATAATAGTAGCACTCCCTATGCATGATACTGCTGCTGCATGGATCCAAGAGGACACTCTAAAATTAGGTTTTAGGGATGTTATCCCACACAAGCCTCCCTCGTAATACAGAGAGGAAATGATGCAATAATGGAGCCCGTCAGATGCCGCTGAAGGACTTTCTCCCTGCATCTGTCATGTCTCATTGGGGAAGTGTTACTGAAGTGTCTGGAAATGGTGGGGAGGAGGAGAAAATGGGTAGAGATTGTCTTCTGAGCTCAGGAATCTATACAATTGGACAAAATGGGGGGGGGGGGAACATGTGGGATGGCATCCTTCAGATCTGCCCATGTTGAATTGCTTCGGTGCTATGCATGCCAATCACTATAATTTTCTCTCCCAGAATCCTGCTTCGTAAGCCTGGCACGGTAATTTTTTGTAACATTGACACCCCCTTTTAGGAGATAACATCCTACAGTGGGCACTCACCCCATTTCCCAGATTCGAACTGCTGACCTTTTGGTCAGCAAGTTCAGAAGCTTAGCAGTTTAACCCGCTGCGCCACCAAGGGGCATTTTAACCTGCATTTTGACCTTCAATATTCAATAGAAATACAGCAACATTATGAACATAGCTAGGAACCAATTCTACATGAGTCCAGGTCTTCATGCCTGTGTAGATTCACCCTAAGATTAATCTGTGCATGTATGTGCTCCTGATTCTCCAGCCAACATTGAATTTGTTCCTTAGACCTGAACAGGCTGTGCACTCCTGCTATCGATTGCAGGGTATTTTACCTAATGGTTCATTGTGACTTGTTCATCTTTTTTAAAAGATTGACAGCTACTCAAATAATAATAATAATAATCATCATCATCATCATCATCATCATCATCATAATCATCATCATCATCATCATCAAGCTACTCTGGGACTTCCGAATTCAGACAGACACAATAGTTTTGGAGCACAATACTCCTGACCTCATGATCGTGTTAAAAAACAAAGTATGGATTGTCGATGTTGCAATCCTAGGTGACAGCAGGATTGAAGAGAAACAACTGGAAAAGCTGACACGATATGAGGATTTAAAGATCGAACTGGAAAGACTCTGTCACAAACCAGTCAAGGTGGTCCCAGTGGTGATCGGCACACTGGGTGCAGTGCCTAAAGACCTTGGCCTGTACTTAAACATAATTGGCGCTGACAAGATTACCTTCTGCCAGCTGCAAAAGGCCACCTTACTGGGATCTGCACACATTATTCGCCGATACATCACATAGTCCTAGACACTTGGGAAGTGTTCAGCGTGTGATCCAATACAATTGCAAGCAGAGTGTCTGCTGTGGACTCATCTTGTTGTGTTTCAAATAGTAGTAGTAGTAGTAATAATAATAATAATAATTCTGCATGTTATTTTTTAGAACCGAAAGTTAGGACCAGGAACCTACAGTGTTGACTATGGAGACTTCAGTTCGCCTGCCTCGTTTCAGAAGAGGTTGTCCACCTCTAGCTGGGCCAAATCACTGGAGGCAGCAAGACTCACTCAAATGCCCCATTTTCATTTCAAAGAAATATGCCACAGAGAAAAACTTCTGGTGAGTGTCTGGATTTGATCTATGGGCTGCATGGGTATGATCAAAGGCTGAAGTTATGAACTTCCTCCATTCAGCTGAAAACATGAGTTAACGTGTCTCCTTTGATTCGGGCAATATATTTTGGATTACTTTCCAAACATTGTTCTATTCCTTTGTATCGTTGGGTCACGGGCATTATCCCTATTACATACTTAAGAAAGGCTCATAAGATTCAATAAGTCATATGTGTCAAGTTCAAAAGGTACTTTACTGACTCTTTCCTCTTTTTGGAAGAGGTGTGTAATCAGGTCCATGTTGGCATGTTTAATTCCAAGTATTGGTAGTTAGAATAGCTGTTTTACATCCCTTCATTTTAGGATTGCTCTCTTATAACTTGGTGAGTATGTTTCTCTAATGATCACTGCATGGGTGAAAGCACACATATTCAGTTCATCCAACCTATATGGTCATTTTTCTGATCTGTTCCACGGACTGCAGGAAACTTCAAGTTGAAAGAAAGAATTGCTTGACTGAAGGCTCAGCTCGAGCATTATGTACAGTGAAGCAACTAACTCAGACAGTAGATTAGGAATGTTATGCATTGCCAGTAAATTATTAGCTATTTCAGTTACTATGATTTTACTACTACCAGAAAAGGGGGGTGGGTGGGTAAGTAAAGGTAAAGGTTTCCTCTTGACATTAAGTCTAGGGGGTGGTGCTCATCTCCATTTCTAAGTTGAAGAGCCGGCATTGTCTGTAGACGCCTCCATGGTCATGTGGCTGGCATGACAGCATGAAGCTCCGCTACCTTCCTGCCAGAGTGGTACCTATTGATCTACTCACATTTGCATATTTTCAAACTGATAGGTTGGCAGAAGTTGGGGTTCATCCCACTCCCTTTCAGTCAGCAAGTTGACAGCTCAGTGGTTTAACCCACTGTGGGGGCGGGGGGAGACTTTTTGTAGCCTGAGATGCCAATTTAACTTCACTGACCTACAGTAGTATGTATGTTTTGGCTTAAGGCAGCACTTACTGTTCTGGCACAGGTTTCACTAGTCTTACCAAATCTCATTTAGCTTCTCTTCCAAAAATTATGCATGGAATCATATCCTTCACCATTTCACTGTTCAGATTGGACCACTTGTGGCCAAGTAACATCACAGTGTGGTCAAAGGGACAAAAGGAAGAACATATAAACTAGAAGAGGCGGTAGCAGGATGCTTTTGCCTGAGTCTATAGGAAAGAGCAATGGTCTGCCATCTCCTCTCCACTTTTCGCTGCTGAGTGCTAATGACTTTTGCGCTTTGAACTCAATTTGAAGTAACTGAAATTCTCAAAAGATAATGAGAGAATGTGGGTGGAGGAGAGAGAAACTGGGTCATTTTAAATTAGCTGGAAATGTGGGATTAAAGAGGATTAACTGGGACTGTCCTTGCTAAATTGGGAATGTTAGAGAAACCTTGTTTCTCCAACCTGTTTTATTAAAGGTACGCTTATTAGGCTTGTGCAATCTGGGTAAACCTTGACCCGTTTCGTGTCCTGGCCCTGATCCGTTGTTTTGGGAGCCTTCCAAAATCAGTTTTTGTTCTGGGGTTCCCAAAGATTACTTTTCTATTGACCCATTATTTGGGGGAGGGGGGTGTCCCAGGTTTCCCTTCCTGTCATTTTAGGCATTTAAGCTCTACTCTAGAGGAGAGGCGCTCAGCTGCAGGCAGACTCACACACTTTCTGGGCCTGCATACCACACACACTTTCCAAGGCAAGGAGGAAATTTTAATCCAGAGGAAGTGATCTGCTGCAGGCAGGCATGCACACTTTTTGGGCCTGCATGCTACATGCACTTTCCAAGGCAAGGAGACAAGTTCTCCAGAGGAGGCACTTGACTGCAGGGAGACGTGCTTGCTTTCTGGGCCTGCACACCGCACACACACACTTTGCAAGGCAAGGAGGCTGCTCATGAAAAGCAGGAAAGGAGCCAGGACCAGCTCCCGCTTGCTTTCGTTTTGATCTGATTTTCATACTGCGATGGGGTTTCCTGTTTCGTGCTCCCAAAGATAACAAAAGTAACGAAAGAACGGATGTAATAAAGGGAAATGGATCAACACACAACTCTAATGTCTCCTTCCCCCACCCAATATTTCTCAATCTGTCTCCTCTCTCCAAGAAACAAAAAATGGGCCCAGGAATTTATGACTTCAAAGATTTCCTGGAACTTCAGGAGACGCGTCCTCACAGTATTAGAGGGATATGCAATACTGGAGAAGTGAGATTTAAAGACCGTATCAGGGTATGTACTGACTTCTTTTTTTGCTAAAACAAGTAATTTTAAATGTATTTCTAAGGAACAACAAGAACACACCCATCTGCCACAACCCACAATCTTCAACCAGCAGCACCAGGAATTTGGAAATTTGTACTCCAATACATTTAGGAGGCATCTGGGTTGTGTATTAGACAATCCAATATTTTTCATAACACAGAAGTGTCAGATAGTGAAACATGGCTGGTGCACTAATGGCACTGCAAAATGTATGCTCATATAGATAGCTGATAGAGCAGGCATGGGCAAACTTTGGCTCTCCAGGTGTTTTGGACTTCAAATCCCACAATTATGGGAGCTGAAGTTCAAAACACTTGGAGGGCCAAATTTTGCCCATGCCTATGATAGAGCCACAGTGGTAGGAGTATATATGATATGACGTTGACATAGCTGTGCCTCTGACATAAAATATTACTCCTCATTTGCTATATGCATATTATAAGCAAAGAGTATGTTTAGTAAGTAACATTAAATGATCAAAAGATGACTTCTGCATACATTCCCTGTAACATTGTTCCTAATCTTGTCCCAACAAGGAAAATATTATAGTAAAGTCAATTAGAGAATGGGATACTTCAACATAGGGAATCTTGGTAGAATGTAGAAGGGTTACTTTTTGGTATATCAGCTGTACAATAACTTTACTATATAGTAACCAAATAATTCTGTGAGTTGTATTCCAAAAAAAGTACTTCTTCAAGATCTCAATCTTCAATCCTTTAAATCAGTACAGGATGAGCATCCCTTAATTGGACCTCCAAAACCAAATCCACAACCCAAAATTGTCCACATGTATGACTGAGATAGATTGCTTTCTGATGGTTTGATGTACACAAACTTTGTTCCATTAACAACATTATTTGTTCCATTAACAAAATTATATCCTATCCCATCTTTAGGATATTTAATTCTGTATTCATATTCAAATACAAATATTCCAAAATCTTGAAAAATCCAAAACTGCAAACACTTCTGTTCCCAAGCATTTTGGATAAGTGATATCCAATTATCTTTTGACCTGAACACTGGTTTTTGACAAATCAGCCTTCATTGTTCTACTTTCTACTGTTTCCCACCCAATCAGACCTGACATTCACCAGGGCAGCAAATGGAAGAGATAAATTGTTGGACAATAACAGTATCAAAATATAGAAATAAGTCATTTGGTCTTTCTCCCTGCACCATAATTCAGAGATGGAGATCATGCAGCTCTCCAGGCATTGCTAAACTACAACACCCAGCATTCCCGATCATATGCGTTTGTCAGATAGGACTTCTGGGACTTGCAGTGCAACAGCATCTGGAGGGCAACATGCTTGCTACCTCTTCCTTCATCAATATGAGCACTCATAGAATTGGAGGGCCCTTCTACACTGTCATATAATCCAGAATATCAAGGCAGATAATCCACGCTATCTGCTTTGAACTGGATTATCTGAATCTACATTGCCGTATAATCCAGTTCAAAGCAGATAATCTGGATTTTGTGCAGCTGTGTAGAAGGGGCCTTATGCAATTTCCTTTGTAGAGGAGAGCAGGTTTTATTGTGAGAAGATGTGAATTAGCAACAGGATTCGCTTGACCATCATAACCAGTGCAAAGGTGCATGTCCCCTCCTCATGATACTGGGAGGTAAAAATGCAGAGAAGATATTGTGGTAACAATCTTAGTAAAAGAAATCATGTAAGTGACATTAGTATTTATGAAACAAGAGCGACTCATAGTGGAAATAATTTATTACTGCTATAGTTTGCCTTCTAGGAAGACAACCTCACTTCCAAAGTATTGTAAGATCCCTTTATCCATGGAAAATGTTTCCTGACCGTACTACAGTTATGTGAAACTCTGGATATGACTGAATGCCATGTAATTACCTTACTTCTGGTCCCGCTATAGCATAGAGTTGAATTAGAGCACCTAGAGATTCCTAAAGAGATATCTTTCCTAGGAATTTGCAAGGTCCTCCAACACAACTCTAGGTAACTTCCAGAGGACATATGGAATCTTCTGAAAGATATCACAAATTCATTGAGTGATCATTCCCCTTAGTTGACCTTGGACAAATCCACTGTCTTAGGCAATAGCAAATTCTCTCTGAACAATTTGCTCTCTGAACAAGAAAACCCTAAGATAGATTTGTCATTCGTCAGGGCTGACTTGAAGGCACGCAACACCAACAAAGTCTTGCCTAGTAATGCTCTAAAGCAGTGGTTCTCAATCTGTGGGTCCCCAGGTGTTTTGGCCTACAACTCCCAGAAATCTCAACCAATTTACCAGCTGTTAGGGTTTCTAGGAGTTGAAGGTCAAAACACCTGGGACCCACAGATTGAGAACCACTGCTCTAAAGAATATCAGAGCATAAGCCCAAGATCTTCTTCAATATTCAGTGATCCAGTGGAGCTTCTGAAGTCTGAACATCAGAAAAGTATTTGTGTTGGACTTCTAGAATTCTGCACCTAATAAGTTTTCCCTACCTATAAGAAAATTACACTTTCTCGGTATTTTATGACTCTGTGGCTCATCTGAAACTAAGGAACAGTTTTGCGGTATAATGGTGCTTTAGTGATTGTATCATTAAGGGTTCCTTTTTTCATCTCCCCTTAGGAATGTTACCCTGGCCCAGGGACGTATGGGAATCCTTATGAAAGCCTGCAAGAAAAACGCCCTGTATCTGCACTTGGAATCATGGACAGCCAAACTACAAAATATTTTTCCTTTCCTTGTACGGTAAGCTTGGATTCCTATTTCTCCACTTAGTTGTTCTTGACTGCTTTTAGTTTCTTACTGTTTTCTAAATTCTTGATTGTTGTTTAGGGGAGTGGCTTGGGACCTGGCACCTACGATATCAAAAGCGGGATAGACGAAATGCTGAAACGCGTGGTCAGCAAGAAAGGCCCTTATGAAACATTCACAGGAGACAGGTCAAAGCCTATCAAGTGTGGGCATTATGCTACTGATGTATGTATGCTCGACTTCTTTGTTTTCATGATTTTCTTCACAGGGCCCACTCAAAACATTTTGATGGCATTCTTTCCCTTCCTTCTGTCTTTTGGACAACTAATAGGACTGGTTGGGTTCCTTCAACATTGGTGATAGTCACTGTTAAGCAGCAGTTTAGCATAGGGGTTAAATTACATGTTGCATGTACCTTGTCCATTATCACAAGACTCTCCCCTCCAGCATCTGTCACCTAATGCAACTGCTTTATTTTCAGGGGAAAAGAGAGTTTGAGTTTCACAATTGTAAACAAATGCATTTTGTGCACTGAAATTGCCCACTGCATTTTTGCCAGCTGATAATAATATTTGTCATCTTCTTCAAGGCAATAAATCAGCAGGGCCTACAGAGATCGCGGACAGCCCATTTCATCAAGAGGCATTAAGTGATATCTGGGAAGGGATTGGCAGAGAGATTTCTGTAGGCATTGATAATTCATTGTCCCCAAAGAAGATCATATATAATATAATTAACTGGCCTTCTCGGTGGTGCCCTCCCCCCCACCTGTGGAATTCATTCCCTGAGGAAATTAGGCCATCTTCATCCCTCCTCTCTTTTAGAAGGAAATTAAAGACATGGATATGGGACCAGGCCTTTGGGTAATCTTGCAGACTGACAAGGACAATGATGACAATAGCTATGGAAATGGATTATGATAAACTGAATGGAATCACTAATCACAGAAGTTGGCGAGATGATGACCACCAGTCTGGCTTCTTTTTTACTAGATTTTATTGTATTAACTCAATGTTTTTAACTATTTATAATTACTGTTTTGTTGTGTATTGTATTGTGTTTAATTGTAGGCACTGAATATGTGCCGGCTGGAAGCCACCCTGAGTCCCCCCTAGGGGGTTGAGAAGGGCGGGCTAAAAATACCCGAAATAAATAATAAATAAATAAATTTCAGTGGACAAAATCAATTTTTAAATTTTGGAGGCACAGGCAAAAATCCAGTAGGACAAAGATGGAGCAGAAGTCATTTTACTCTGTTGTTTCTAATTTATGGATTGGGATTTAGGGGAGTGGAGGCTAGTCTTTAGTCCCAATTTCTTCTCCAGCAGTTCAACAGGACTTCACTACTGCTTAGCTTCAGGAGTGTCCCCGGGTATCTTCTAGCTGCCTTACACTCCAGGGGAAATTGTGGACTTAATGACCACTTCCCATTGTGGATTTTAAAAGAAGATGAGGAAGAAAAGATAGGCACAGGCAAAAGCCCATTATTTTAGATGTCTTACATTGTAGCTGTGTAGCAATGTTTGTGTCTACTATTTTAAGAAGTTAGCCTAGGAACAATTAAGATTAGAGTGTACAAATGGGACTTTTTCAATTGTCTGTGCATTTGATTGTATAAGAGTTGAAATGTACAAGCTGCAATATTGTTTCTAATGTTCCTATCTAGCACTTAGGACCATGGGTAGCACTATAGGTTTGTGGAGATATTATGTGGCAACAGGAAATAGACCATTGTTCTTGGTCTCATGATGTTCAGCTCACAGAATTTGGATACTGTGGATTTTGGTAGTCACAGTGCCTCTTTTTTATTTACTGAATGGACACAATTTCACATTAAGTCTATAGCTCATCGATTATTAATGCAATAATATACAATGACAGTTCAGAAGTGATCCTGCTAATTTCATCAGACTTACTTTTTTATATGGGTATATATAATCCTAGTCCAAGTGGAGCAGCCACCAAAGGTTCAAAACCCCATGACAATGATTAATACTGAAGGACTTGCAGTGGGTTTGATCCACATTTGCTATTCCTTGAAAAAAAAATCAATTCAGGAAAGTGTCAACATCCAGAAAAGGTATTTTTAAGGGTTTTTTTCTGCAGTTATTTAAAATTTGTGTAATATTGAAATGTGAATAATGTTTGAAAACTATGATTTTCAAAGACTTTCTTGTAATGGGAAGAAAATTACTAAAATTGCTCACTACCCCTTCAAGAAAATAAATGAATGGAGAATTACACCCATAGACTGTACTGACAATTGAACTTTACTTCAATACTGGCAATGAAATTAGATCGTTCAACCCATCTGAGGACTGAAGGGTGATTGAAGATAGGACACATAGAATAGGGAGTGTTGCAGTTCCAAAGATGGGAAAGGCTAGAGATCTAAGGAGAAGGAGGTCCTGTCTTCTGGGGTTGATGCCTCTCTTTGCTTTAGGACGTGAAAGTATCAAATGTGATTTGTAATTGTTGTTACTGATGTTACCCCATGCTCTTGCTAGGCAACTTTATGTTTTGAAAACAATTTATTCTCTTTCCATATGAGTTTCTTCCCTCATTTTATGCTGCTAGAAAAAATCCATTGAGCTGAGTCGCAGCAAAGTAAGGAGCTTCCTAGAAGAAATGAAGACCAAAGAAAAAAGGAAACATGGGGTTTTCAGCAATCTTTCTCGATTTCCAGAATATCCATCTGAACGGATCTTCTGGTCTACTATTGGCTTGGGTCCAATTGAAAAAGTAGGTGACTTGTAGTGCTCCTGTATGGTTAGTCCAACGTCAATGTCTTCTTTAGGCAGTGAGGTCATTGGGAAGTGGTACCAGTGAAAAAGAAAATCTGACTCCTCAAATGCCCCCCTTCTTTCAATTTTGAAGTGTTAAAAAGGATTGCTAGTGGGAGCCATGTGGTTGGTTTAACCATTGGACTACAACTGTGAGACAAAGCCCATGAAACTCATGGATGAACTTGGGCAAGAGGAAATCAGTGGCAAATACCTTCAAAACAAATCTTGCAAAGAAAAAACTATGATACTCTTGCCTTAGGGTGTCCATAGGCTGAAAATGCCATGACCAGCAGTTTGGTGGTTGTAGTATAGCTGCTGACGGATGTTTGGAAGGGGTCAATCACCCTCCTGTTTGTAAGAGATCAGATTGACCTTCTCAGTAATGATTCACAGGCTATAGTTGATATGGATGTACTAAGAAATATATAAGCACATATATCTATTGTATGTAAGCTTATTGAAATACAGTGGAAGGCTAAAACCCAGAACCTCAACCCATGGCTGATATCAAATGAGAGACCCCCCCAGGCACACAGAAGACTGGGCGACTTGGGAGGCACTGAACAAACTGTGCTCTGGCACCACGAGATGCAGAGCCAGCCTTAAGAAATGGGGCCACAAAGTGGAGTACATTACATGCAAATGTGGAGACCACTTATTACAACGAAGTCTGAGCCCTGGCACATGCAACACCAGAGGCGCTCCATGTGGCCAGCTACTGACCAAAGGACATTTAATAAAATGCCAAGTTTTTAAGCTTTCTGGATTTTTAAAATACATTACAACTCTACCCTTAGTTCATTCTGATGCAATAAATAAATATTGAAATATAGGAAATTAGATTTTTAGATGCAGTAGCTAGAAAACAAAGGAATGTTCAAGAGGTCAGTTAAATGTAAAGGCAAAGGGATGATCTGTTATCTGTAAATTCAAAGTACCAGGGTAAATTCAAGGCTGACACTGAGCCCCCTTCTACACAGCTGAATAAAACCCCACATTTTCTGCTTTCATAGACTCATAGAATCAAAGAGTTGGAAGAGACCTCATGGGCCATCCAGTCCAACCCCCTGCCAAGAAGCAGGAATATTGCATTCAAATCACCCCTGACAGATGGCCATCCAGCCTCTGTTTAAAAGCTTCCAAAGAAGGAGCCTCCACCACACTCTGGGACAGAGAGTTCCACTGCTGAACGGCTCTCACAGTCAGGAAGTTCTTCCTCATGTTCAGATGGAATCTCCTTTCTTGTAGTTTGAAGCCATTGTTCCGTCTCCTAGTCTCCAGGGAAGCAGAAAACAAGCTTGCTCCCTCCTCCCTGTGGCTTCTTCTCACATATTTATACATGGCTATCATATCTCCTCTCAGCCTTCTCTTCTTCAGGCTAAACATGCCCAGCTCTTAAGCCGCTCCTCATAGGGCTTGTTCTCCAGACCTTGATCATTTTAGTCGCCCTCCTCTGGACACATTCCAGCTTGTTAATATCTCTCTTCAATTGTGGTGCCCAGAATTGGACACAATATTCCAGGTGTGGTCTAACCAAAGTAGATAGAGGTGTAGCATTACTTCCCTAGATCTAGACACTATGCTCCTATTGATGCTTTGAACTGAAATATATGGCAATGTGGACTCAGATAACCCAGTTCAAAGCAGATATTATGGGATTTTCTTCCTTGATATTCTGGGTTATATGCCTGTGTGGAATGGCCCTCAGTCTAATGGAAAGTAAGTGGTAGGGCTTCTTGATGGATGGACTGAAAATATAATGTTTATCTGTAACTGTATTTTAAAAGGACTGATTATGTACCATATGTTGAGAGGGTCAAAGGTTATCTCTCTGACATAGAGCAGACTGTGCATGTAGCTTTGCCTGCTTGTAACAGAGGGATGTATGAAAGAAGAGAATTCCCTTTTTTCGTGGCTCTGACTTTTGGAACAGATTTCCAGCAGAGTCTTACCAGCTGGTAAATAAACTTGGTTTTTTTCTTCCAAGTCTCAGGAAAGGTCTCTCAGGGCCTTTCCACACAGCTCTATATCCAGGAATATCAAGACAGAAAAATCCTCTTCACTATGATCATTCGGGAGTCCTGCTGAAATGGGACGTAGCTATGATCAGCTGCATAAAAGAGCTTTGCAAGGGACTGCTCTTTGGGAGAAAAGTATTAGTTGTATTAGGACATGAATTGTAGCTGTTTTCCCACAGGATGTGTGGGAAATTATTTTGGGAAGTTTGCTTGTTCCTTGTTTCTTTGGGAACCTTGGGACTTTGTGTTTATGTTTTGAAGTCAGACATTAAAGGGACTAAGTGTTTATGTGACTGTTTTCAGTAAAACATTTTTTACACAAATTGGGTGCTGTGTTGGCTAAACTCTGCCTGCATTATGCGACAGAGTCCTGGAACACAACAGAAAATAACACAAAGGCACATATCACCAAAGTACACTCCGACATAGATTTTAGTTTATTCAAGTATTTTCTTTCAGTCACTATGCTAAGGCAAATGTGTAGTTACACCTTAATAAACTGGACAGATATGATAACATCATAACTGCATGGAATCAAGAGGGTTCATGCTTTCACCACACTGAAATGATGCCACCTTTATGGCATTTTTAGATCCTTTGTGAGCTTGTGATAAGAAACACAAGAAAATGCTCAGGATGTTCTTGTAGAAAAGGAAAAAGTTACACTTATTGTTCATGAAATCCATCTTGGGATAGGAAAAGTGCTAGACAAAAGAAGATTACCTAACCATTACTTATGCCTTTCTTTTACAGCTCACAGCTGGTCCAGGCTCATATGACATAATGCCTATTAAGAGAAAAGAATTTGAAAACCAACCACCATTCTGGGTTGGTGCGAAGAGATTTGACAAGAAGGCGTGCCGTGTCTTCTTTGGAAGTGCTGTGAGTAAAAAGCAATATAGCAGGAAAAGACCAGGCCACACACAAAGTTCCTTTTCTTGGACTCTCTTTTTGGACCTTTCTTTTTTTTTATGCATCTGTTGAATAGAACTTACCTTAGTGTTGTGATTGTGTCTTAGGACTAACCAACCTAATAGGCTTGTTGTGAGAAAAAGGTGGAAAGGCAGAAAAAACCTTGTACATATTCCCCAGTCTCTTGGCAAAATAGGATTATCTAAACATGCTCCAGGTGCCCCTGGTGGTGCAGCAGGTTAAACCGCTGAGCTGCTGAGCTTTCTGACCGCAAGGTTGGCAATTCAAATCCAGGGACTAGGGTGAGCTCCTGGTGTTAGGCCAAACTTCTGCAAACCTAGCAGTTAGAAAATATGTAAATGTGAGTAGATCAATAGGTATTTGGCGGGAAGATAACAGTTCTCCATGCAGACATGCTGGCCACATGACTTTTGAGGTGGCTCTTCGGCTTAGAAATGGCGATGAGCATCACCCCTCCAGAATTGGACACAACTACACTTAATGTCAAGGGGAAACCTTCGCCTTTTTAAACGTGCTCCAGAAAATGTAGAGGACTTTCCGTTCTTTTTATACAAGCCTTTAGCTTTGGAATGGGGCCCAACTTTAATTCATGTTTCTATATTGACTTATTGTTAATAGGTCTCTTAACAACTCATTCAACAAGATTACAATAGAAGGACAATAATGAAAAAACTGTTTAAAATGAAGAAGCACAATAATACCCCAAACAGAACCACAGTATAAAACAGAAAGAAGTCAAACTGCTGGAAGCTATTAAAAGCATGAGGTCAGATTTAGTGCCAGAGAGAAAGAGAGAGAGAGAGAGAGAGAGAGAGAGAAGGGATGAATCCAAGAAGGGATGAATCCTAGGTCAGCTGAGGAAGACATTTCAGAATGTGAACGCTGCAAAAATCTTCACCTTAGCAGACTTTAGCAGACATCATCTCAATCTTGAAAGGAGGTGGTGCCTCTATAGTTGATTTCGGTTGGCAACCCTATTCAAGAGGAAGAATTTATTTATTTATTTACCTTATTTATATCCTGCCTTTCTCTACCCCATGCAGGCCCATAGTCAGGATTTAGATTCGGGATGGGCTGAGCTTGAGGGTGGGGGAGGGGGGCTGAGTCTGAGTGAAAGAGGGTCTACCCTAGCAAACCTTTTGTATCATTACCCCAATACCCCCATGCATATGGGATATATTGAGCATGGTGATCAGATCATGATATGAATAAACATAACAGTTTAAATAATGTACCAGTAAGGCCTTCGCGCGGACCACCCTGAGAATTTCGGGGGGGGGGGGGGGGCTGAAGCCCCTCAAGGCCCCCCCCCCCGGCTATATGCCTGTCTGCATGGGGAACTCAGGTCGGCTTACATGTGGCACCTACATAGTGCCTTAAAACATACAATGTTAACTTAAAAATAAATTTGATTAATTTTAATACTTTCCAATGTTAATCCTATAGGAATTTCATAGGACTTCACAACTCGTTATTTAGAACTTAAAAGATATGGTTAATCCATTAATTAATTCTATGTCTGTCTCACCTTTCTCCAGTGAATGGGATTTGAACATCTTACACATGGTACAAATACAATAAATATGTAAAAGGAATGAATAATAATAATAATAATAATAATAATAATAATAATAATAATAGCTTTATTTGTAACCTGTCCTATCTCCCCGGAATTTGGGGAAACTCAAGGCAGTTTCCAATAAAAGATGGCAAACATTAAATGCCATAATAAACAATAGAAACAAAACAAATCAAATCAAAACAGTAAACAAACACATCATTGCAAACTTATAGTAACTGGCCAAAAAGGTAAGTAAGCTAAATAGATATGGTAGATCTAAATGAATCACAAACTCAAATCCCTTTTTAAAAAAAGTATGCCTGATAAGAGGAAAACAACAACAACAAAAACCATCCACCAGACCCATATAGTTAAAAGTTCCTTCTGGTGCAACCACAGCCATTTCTCTAAGGGAATTATTTGAATAAAAAGACTTTTGATTCTACCTGGCCTGAGGCAGAAATAGCAACAAGGAAAAAGCCAGCTTAGCCTCCTGCAACAGGGCATTCCCGAACTTGCCAGAGGCCATGAAAAGAAGAAAGCCCTTTGAAACAAGGCATTTTTTAGCTCAGTCATCATATGTTCTCCACAGTCAGCCTGAGTCAGCAGTCCAGCTGCATTCTGTAGCCAGGGCAGAGTCTGAACTATTTTCAAAGACAGCCTTACACACAATGTTTTGTTTGCTGAAGCAAAGGGCAACACAACATCCCCCTCACATTCCACATACAGAAGTGAACTTTCTAATTCTACTTCATCTCTGACAAAGAAAGCATTGAGTGCTATGCTTACTATGAGGCCATTTCAGAGATAGAGGACAGGCCACGTGGCATACATCCATTCACAGCTCTATTCTTCCAGAATAACTGGGAACTTCTTTTCTCAGCATCTGCCTCCAGAGGTTGTTGCCTTGATATGGCTAATGACAGGGCTGGCCTTCTGTACAATTCATTACAGGTATTTAGCCTGAATTCTACTGTTGATAGTTTGGAACAATCCAAATATTACACTTCTCTGCACAGGTTATGGCTTGGACATTAACAATGGTTTAAATTTATTGTCAAAGGCTTTTCACAACCTCTGAGGATGCTTGCCACAGATGCAGGCAAAACGTCAGGAGAGAATGCTTCTAGAATATGGACATACAACCCAAAAAACCTACCCAGTGGTTTAAATTGTTTTATTGTCTGATTGTTTAAATTGTTTATTGTTTTATTATAGTGGCGTATGCGCTGGTCTGTCTTGTGTTAATTTTGATTGTGGAATTGGTTATGTTATTAATTGGATGGTTTATTTGTTATGCTTATGTCTGTAATTTAGTATTATTATTTATTTATTTCAAGCATTTATACCCTGTCCTTCTCAACTCAGACCAGCTTACAATAGGCAATCATTAAATGCCAGACACTGAATTAGCAAACATAATTAAAACAATCATTAAAACAATTTAAACATTCAGAGATTTTAAATTCTAAAATATCGCCAGTTTAAAAACGTGATCCATGATCAGCCCATTTGCCAGTTGCAACAGTCAATTGCATCCAAATCACTGTATCTATTGCTCAAAGGCTTGACTCCAGAGCCAGGTCTTGAGTTTTCCCCCCAGAATATCAGGAGGGAAGGGGCAGATCTGATACCATTTGGGAAGGAGTTCAACAGCCGAGGAGCCACCACTGGGATGGCCCTCTCTCTCGTCCTCACCAGTTGCGCTTGTGAGGGGGTGGTGGGACCGAGAGCAGGGCCTCTCCCAATGGTCTTAGAGTCCTTGAAGCTTCATGGAGGGATATGTTCGGACAGGTAAACTGGGCTGGAGCCATTTAGGGCTTTATAGGCTAGTGCCAACACTTTGAATTGTGCTCGGTAGCAGATTGGCAGCTAGTGGAGCTGGCATAACGGGGAGGGGGGGGGTGGTTGTTTACTCCCTGAACCCAGCTCCGGTGAGAAATCTGGCTGCTGTTCATTGGGCTTGTTGAAGCTTCCAACCAGTCTTCAGAGGCAACCTCACGCAGAGTGCATTTCAGTAGTCTAAACGGGATGTAACAAGAGCGTGGAGTACCTTGGTCAAGTCAGACTTCCCAAGGAATGGTGCAGCCACTGCTGAAGCCTGGGTTATTTATTATTATTATTATTATTATTACTATTATGTGTGTGAGAGATATTTGCACCAATTCTTATTCATTTTGCCAAAAATGTTCAATGTATTTGTTCCACCTCACTACTATATAAATTTCACTTAGTCCATATTATTTTATTTTATTATTTTAGTTATTGTATACATTCCACTTTTAGATTTCAATTTTAGATTTCAATTATTTTATTTTATTATTTTATTTATTATATATGTTTTACTTTTAAATTTCAATTTGCTTCCTGTTTACAATTTCATTTTAACTAAAATGTACTTGCCTAACCACTATAATCAAAGTGGTGTGCACATCACACATCTGCCATCAATGATAACAAAAACAATTTAAAGCTGTCGTTTCTCCAGATTATTTCCTAAAGCATACACAAAAAGGATACTCAAAAATATAGCTGTTCTGCACAGCTTACACTGGTTTCTTCCAATTAATGCTTGACTGGCTGCATCTTGTAATTGAATCCTTTAATACCTGCCCCCTAAATTAAGACCGGAGCCCCTGGTTGCACAGTGGGTTAAACCACTGAGCTGCTAAACTTGTTGACCAAAAGGTCATAGGTTCGAATCCGGGGAGCAGCATGAGCTTCTGCTGTCAGCCTCAGCTTCTGCCAACCTAGCAGTTCGAAAACATGCAAATGTGAGTAGATCAATAGGTACCGCTCCGGCGGGAAGGTAATGGAGCTCCATGCAGTCATGCCGGCCACATGACCTTGGAGGTATCTACGGGCAACACCAGCTCTTTGGCTTAGAAATGGAGATGAGCACCAACCTCCAGAGTCAGACACGACTGGACTTAATGTCAGGGGACAACCTTTACCTTTACTAAATTAAGACCACAATTGTCTTGGTGCTTGCTTGGTGTTAGGACATATTTCGAAATGCATGTGTATAGGCTCACATTGCATAATATGTAGAAGAAGGTAGAAGTGTACCTTACTTTATGTTGGAGGGAGGGGACCCTTTAAACTAGTTCTATAGTTTTCCATTCCTGAAACCTCTTTTAATAATGATGTACCAAAAGGGATGGTTCTGGCGCTGTTCCTCCTTCTCCTTGTGGCCTTTCTTGTATTCATCTTTTTTGGGTTCCTGCAGTGAACTGGAACAAAGCTGGAAGAACTCAAACGGTTAGGGAAAGCTTTCCTTTGAAAGAGTTCACTTCTACTTAGGGAACAGGCAAGGACTCCCAGGTACTTTTCTTCCCTTGATGCTTGAGAGCAGGGGACTTAAAAGAGGTCAAGAATGAAGGCTGCTTTCTAATTGATGGGGAACTTCACTGGTGGTGATTAAGTGTCACAGATAATGGGGGTCAGCCTGAACTTCAGCTGGTTTGGGAGTATATTGCAATGGAGGAATGAATTGCTTTATATGCAGAGCAATGCATTAGCTACTTGCAGTAGATGTAAATGGGGCTATTTCAATAACAGGGGCATTGAGTTTAGTGTCCTTGGGCTCAAATGATGACCAGGCTCCAAATTGGAAGATTCCTTCTAAAATGATACCAAAAATACTATTAAGATTCATTGAACCATAGAATCATAGAGTTGGAAGAGACCTCATGGGCCATCCATTCCAACCCCTTGCCAAGAAGCATGAAAATCACATTCAAAGCACCCCTGACAGATGGCCATCCAGCCTCTGTTTAAAAGCCTCCAAAGAAGGAGCATCTACCACACTCCAGGGCAGAGAGTTCCACTGCCGAACAGCTCTCACAGTTAGGAAGTTCTTCCTAATGTTCAGATGGAATCTCCCGTCTTGTAGTTTGAAGCCATTGTTTCGATTCTATGTTGGGAAGGAGAGATTAGTAAGCATGAGTGCCTGCTTTACAAATACAGGTGTTAGGTACAGAATTGTCACCCCATTCAAAATAGTGATCACAGTTGAATATTCATGAAGACTTTCAATTCCCCAAACTTGAATTGTGAGGAATCACAGCAGGTGACTGAGCAGGTGTTCTCTTCTGCATTTCCACAATAACATTAGAAACATCTATAAGGCGGAATGCACAAGTTCATGCATCTCTTTCCTAAGGATTACATTTTACATTCTGTCATGGCCGTGTAGTGGGTGTTTAAGGGCTTGGTAATCTGTTCACTGACACTTTTTATAGTATCTGTTAAAAGCTGTGGAGCCCCCGGTGGCACAGCGGGTTAAACCGCTGAGCTGCTGAACTTACTGACTGAAATATCAGTAGTTGGAATCTGGGAGTGGGGTGAGCTCTTGCTGTTAGCCCCAGCTTCTGCCAACCTAGCAGTTCGAAAACATACAAATGTGAATATATCAATAGGTACTGCTCAGGCAGGAAGGTAACAGCGCTCCATGCAGTCATGCCGGCCACATAACTTTGGAGGTGTCTATGGACAATGCTGGCTCTTTGGTTTAGAAACGGAGATAAGCACCAGAGTTGGACACGGCTGGACTTAATGTCAAGGGGAAACCTTTACCTTTTCCTTTTTATTAAAAGCTGTTGTTTGCCTACTTTTTTCCTTACAGAACCCAGTTGGAGTTGGTCGCTACAATACCATGAAACATGAGAAGTATCCAAAGAAGATCAGATATCGTTCACTTTATATGAATGAAACACAGCGTTACCTTAGTAATATGGAGAGGGACAAGTGCTTGCAGTAAGTTTAGACAAAAGTGAATATTTCAAAATAATCTGTAAGAAATTGAAATCCTGTTTGAGCATTTCACTAGATTTTTACTTTATATATTTGGTTTTATTTACATCCTTTTCTTCAGGATGCCAAATTTGGATTACAAGTTACCTTTAAATGTAAGAGGTTACCCAGTCAATTTTAAGTTGCGGATCTGAATCTGCATTTTATCAGTGTATTTTAACTCGGTGTATCTTGTTGTACACCTTTGATTAGTGTTTTATCTCATTTTAGTTATGTTGTATCCTGCAGGAAGAGGTGGGTATTATTATTATTACAGGCATTCCCCAAGTTACGAACAAGTTTGGTTCTGTAGGTTTGTTCTTAAGCTGAATTTATATCTAAGTTGGAATAGGTCCATTTTGCAAGTTTAATTCCAATCTCTCTCTCTCTCTCTCTCTCTCTCTATATATATATATATATCTTAGGAAAGGGTTAATACCCCTATGGGGTTTGTCCCCGTTCAGAAGATTTAACCTTGCTTTCTGTCCCTGTGGATTTTGAAAAAATTGGCTTGTTTTCAAAACAAGGATTGATGGGAAAGCTTCAGTGGAGATACCTTTTCCCCATGAAAACTCTTCCAGGAGGGAATTTCCCTTCCTAGGAGCAGATTTCTCTCACTTCCTGTTGTTTCACCCCCATTCTTAACTGTGGGTCGTTTGTAAGTTGGATGTTTGTAACTCAGGGACTGCCTGTGTATTACTATTGAGAAATTTTGGATTTCTTAATCAAATCTGTACGACTATCCATTAGCAAACATTGTCTAGGTTAGCTTATAAAACCAGTCTAATGCAGTGAAGAAAAATAAAATAGTCGCAAGCTTTCAGGATTTTGAGGCAGATGCTTTGAATGAAGACATTTAATGTAAACATGGAGAATTTTGCTGATTTGTTCTTTTGCTATTTTACTCTAACAGACATTACAGTGCTCCAGAATTCCAATTTAATTAGAATCCTTAAAATTAATCCCAGAATTGGAAGATTTGGATTACATTTTGGGAATGTTGATTTACTATTGCAGGGCAGCAGCATTAGTTTCCTATCCAAATTACACTAGGAAGGAATTGACGAGAACCAGACTGGTTCCTTTTTCTTTCATACCAGGTTTGCGCACTCCAACTAGGCAACATCTTATATTTATTTAGACGTGAAATGCAGATCAGCAATGGAAGGGTGGAACCAGGCCCGTAGCCAGGATTTCGTTTCGGGGGGGGGGGGGGGGGGGGGGGGGGGGGGGGCTGAGTCTGAGTGAAAGAGGGTCTAGCCTAGCAAACCTTTTGTTTTTTTAAAAATAATCTTTATTACTTTTCTTAAAATTACAGATATATAGATAGTGCTAGAAACTTTCAGACTTATAAAGTTTCTTGCTGTGCAGAGGGAAAAACCAGAAAAACCTTTTGTATCATTACCCCAATACCCCCATGCATATGGGATAAATTGAGTATGGTGATCACATCATGATATGAATAAACATAACAGTTTAAATAATGCACCAGTAAGGTCTTTTCGCGAACCCCCATGAGAATTTCGGGGGGGGGGGCTGAAGCTCCTCAAGCCCCCCCCCCCCCCCCCCCCCCCCCCCCCGGCTACATGCCTGGGTGGAACATAAACCTTTTAATGACTTTGTCTTCTCATATCATCTGTTTTTCCAGGGAAAGGATCACTCCTCACACTAAAAGCCACTGGAACAATTCAGCTTAAGCAGCCATTGTTTCTTCTCAAACATTTCACCATTCAGATATCAGCTGCATTCCTAGTTGATTTCCATGGCATATTCTGCCAACATGACTGAGAAGAATCAAAAGAACACCTCAACATTTGTTGCACTGAGAAGCCTGTTCCATACGTATTTATGATAATCTCTTGGTAATTATGTTGTCCACTTATACCATTCCCTTCACTAAAAATAGAGCCATTTAGTGAAATTTGGTAGATGCATGTTTTGTCCACAACTGGAACACTGTGTCCAATTCTGGGTACTGCAATTGAAGGGAGATAGTGACAAGCTGGAATGTGTCCAGAGTATGGCGACTAAAACAATCTGGAGAACAAACCCTATGAGGAGTGACTTAAAGAGCTGGGCATGTTTAGCCTGCAGAAGAGAAGGCTGAGAGGAGACGTGATGGCCATGTATAAATATGTGGGGAAGAGGGAGCAAGCTTGTTTTCTGCTGCCTTGGAGACTAGGATGTGGAACAATGGCTTCAAACTAGAGGAAAGGAGATTCCACCTGAACATGAGGAAGAATGTCCTGTGAGAGCTGTTCTGCAGTGGAACTCCCTGCCCCAGAGTGTGGTGGAGGCTCCTTCTTTGAAGGCTTCTAAACAGAGGCTATATGGCCCTCTGTCAGGGGTGCTTTGAATGCAATTTTCCTGCATTGGTAAGGGGTTGGACTGGATGGCCCACAAGGTCTCTTCCAACTCAATGATTCTATGATTTCAATCTAAAGCAAGTCTACTACCCCTATGTGAATAATGAAACTGCTGACACAGAAACACTATCAATGTAAACTCTGCCCAAGGTTGCCGTTTGTAGTTTTTGGATCCCCAAAAAGAACTGAAAGACCTCTTCCCAGTTAAGAGACCTAAACACAACTAGAATAGACCCATTGAGTCAAGTAACAAATGAAATCTCAACAAGTATGTAAAGTGTTTCGGTTTAGTAGGCCTACTCTAGTTGGGACGAGCAACTGGATTTAGGATAGGAAAGAAAATCATGCAACCACCCACATATTGTTGGACTACAAATCTCAACATCACTCAATAGCATAGTTGGTGTCAATGAATGGTGGACAGTTCCCATCCTGGATGTAAGTCAAAAGAGATATTTTTAGAGTGCCCCTCCTTCCACATTTCAATCATCATTGATGTATAGTGGGTAGGTCAGCAGCTTGTTCTTTATTCTGTATATGTGCCTTCACATTGCCTATCAATTTATGGTGACGGGTTTTTAGGCAAGGAACATTCAGGTGTGTTTTTGCCATTGCCTTCTTCTGAAATACACTGGTGGTCTTCCATCTGATTATTAACCAGGATTGACCCTGTTTAGCTTCCATTTCTGAACATATTGGGAAAAGGGCTTTATGCAATACAGTACTCTTCACATTCCTGAAGGAAAAAGTTAGAATTCTCCTACACAATTGGATACTATTTAATACTCCAGGCGTGGGGGACAGCCATACTGTCTTAATTTGAAATTATGGGCAAAAATGATGGGGAAAAGGATGAATAAATGATATTCCATCCCTTTGTTGCTTGCAAGCCTGGCTTTTGAAGAAATGTGGCTAAGTCTGCAATTCTACGCTCGTAAGGGAGTAAGGCCTACCAAACTCAATAAGGCCTCTGAGCTTTTTACAAACTTGTATACTGGCTAGGTCAGTAAATATTCTGAAGTTAGCACTGACATAAATAAACAGGCAGGCCAATATAGATGACAGTAACTTGAAAGACTATTGCATTGACCTTTCTCATACCTAAGTCACTGGCTAAACTGACCGTGACTGATGGAAGTAATCATACAGGAGTATTTGGAGGCATGGTTCATTTTTTTTAAAAAAAACTTTAAAGCAGTAATTCTCAACCTGTGGGTCCCAGATGTTTTGACCTTCAACTCCCAGAAATCCAGCAGCTGATAAACTGGCTGGGATTTCTGGGAGGTGTCGACCAAAACATCTGGGGACCCACAGGTTGAGAACCACTGCTTTAAAGAAAAGAATCCATGGGTGTACGTGAACTCAAAAATAGAACACTAAGAACACACAAAGTAAACATCCCCCATACATGAAAATGTTTCATTTCTTCTGAATATGGGACAAGGTATGCTTTGGTGTCTTTTTGATACTTTGAGTTATCTGTGACAATATAGTGAGAATTAAAACTTCAATTAAACATTTGCCTATTTTGGAATGGTTAAATCCCACTCAAAATATGCAGTATATCTAGAACACAACATACTTGGCAAGCAAACACTATACACTCCTCTAAACCTTAAAAAAAAGCCCAAACCATTATCCCCATTAAATGTCACTTGCAAATTGTGGGTTAAAACAGTAGTAGCTAGGACCCTGCACAGGGACTTCTTGTATGGAAAACAACCATACAATTAGACTTTCTGGGACTAATCAAAACTTAGGCTCATTTAAAAAATATTAAAAGCACATTCTAAATATATATGAGTGTCTAAGCATGGCTGTTTAAGTAGCCATGAGGAACTTACTGTCCCTTCAAAATGTTCATCATCCTAGACACTATGAAGCGGGTGGAGAATGGGAGTTAATGAACCCTGGGTGTCACTAATTTTCCAATATAGCTATAATCTAACGAGTTAGATGGAAGGGTATTTTTAATCCTTCAAAACAAATCTTTTTTGTTATAAGATGTATAGCAAATAATTTTCAAATATTTTTGAAAAATTAAACCACCACAATTTTATTCAGTCACATTAAAATAGCAGTTTAGGATAGTAGAATACATTCTGCTCAAGTGCACCGGTACAAAATAGCTGACAGTCGCAACACAAAGTACACTGTTGCTGCTGGCATTGGGTTAGAACATCTCAGTGGGCAGGACTTTTATTATGGCTGTAGCAACTGAGAACAATAAATGCACTTGCAGGTACAACCTGTGGTAAGAAATAATTCCATGTGTGACACAAAACCAAGACACATCCTGCACATACAACTCTTGCCTGCAGAACTAACCTCTGTACAAATGAATGGCAAGCACGGAGTATGTTGTAGCTGTTGGTCTCCTTTAAGATTCAACTTCTGTCTAACCAGCATCAGCTGCTAGGCAGAATCCAGTCGACTTTGATGGCAGTTGCTACAAGAGAATGGTAGCAATATCACCTGGCCAGCAATTTTCCTCTCGGAGGAATTATGTGTATTGTACAGCTTGTTCATTGTTAGATTGTTCCCAGTGTGATGGACGATACTGCCCCACCATTTGTTTTCCAATAGGATTAGCAGCTTGTCCAGTTAGGTGCTGTTGTGGTGAACAAATAAGGAGGTTGTCAAATGTCACCAGGCAGGCCTGGTGGGTCTATGCTGTTTTCATCCATTTCCTTTCATACAATCATTATGGAATGATTTTCAGATGTCTAAGTAGGCACTACAGAAGTGTAAGCAAGGTCTTTCCTCCTTTCCAACATAATGATCCTATGGATCGTAGCATGGACATGTATGTGTGACTGAAAGGATAAAACATCTTCTTATTGGTTCCCTCCCATCAGTCCCTATAGAGTAACTTTTCAACATGATAAATAAAACCCAACAGTTTTCTCTCACCAAGCCAAACATTTTCTCAGAAGTTCAAAAATAAATACATCCAAGTGAAGATTTCTCCTTATGTCTAGTCTTTGGATCAAATTTTGGTTAAATCTGATAAATTAACATAAAGCCCAAGCCCACTCAACAAAACTTTCCACAGTCGATTACAGGTGCAAAGTGGAAGCTCACTTTCATTATATGAAAGTTCATAGCCTTAGCCAAATGTGACCTATTGCTATATTAAAATATTAGGAAGCATTGATACTGGCTGTTTGGCAGCTTGTTCCTTATTACTCGAGCAAAAAGGTTAATTGTCCCACAAAATAGGGTGCTGTTATACAGTAATAAGGGGAAAAAAGATATCATGCTGCATGTAACATTTGAATTAATAGGCAGGAAATGACAGGGAAAGGATGAAAACATGGCATCTCATCACTTTCTAGCTGCTTGTTTGGGAGAAAGAAATATGGCTCCCTAAGACTGCAATTCTATGTACCAAACTCCATAAACCTCTGAGTTTTGTAAACAGTATTGGGCTGTACAGGAAGAAATCTGAATTCCAATTTTTAAGCATCTAATTTCAGATATTTGCTAAATTATTCTGGAGATATCCTATACACACAAATACGCACCAGTCATTTCTACCCATTGTTTTACTCTTAAAATCAGAATGGCCTGAAATCCTAATTTCTCCCATCTAATTTAAGGCACTAAAAAAATCTTAATAAGAACAGAAAAAAGCATATGAAGAAAAATAATCTCTGAAAGCTATTAATAAAATTTGACAATAGAAAAGGCAGCCTTTGAAATCACAGTTTATGTGTTACCACATAAAACTCCTCCACCATTTACTGCTCATTTCATGAACAAAGTAACCAAATGAAATAGGCACAAAAATGGAAGAACTTTGCTGCTCCGTGTCAAACTAATGGCAATTCTTTTTAAAGATATCACTAAAAATTACAATAATGCTACGTTTCTAGAAAGCGCTACTTTATAATGTGGAATCTGTAGACCAAGTTACAGATCATTCCATCTACTTCATTACACTAGAAAGCGAACCCACTTGAAATCCGGTTTCTGCTTCCTGCAGAATTCTGGAGTTTGTAGTTTAGTGAAGGCTCATTTCTAAACTAAAAACCCCAGAATTCTGCAGGAAGCAGCAACCAGATTTAAAGAGGTTTCATTCTCTATTGTGATGAGGTTGTCTTTCTAGTTACAGAAGCAATGGCACCATAAAGTAGTGCAGAAAAAAATAACAAGATCTTACCAGCATTCTGTGCAAAGCAAACTAGGAAATGAAGGTACAGGGAAAACTTGTTTTCATATTGTACATAACTTTTTAAAGGAGCTTAGTGACCATCAGCTTAATAAACAGAAGGAAGAGAAATAAAAAAAGAGATGGAGAAAAAAATGAAGTAAAAAAGTGGGGAAGAAAAAAAAATAGTAGCATGTACATTTTCACTAATATGAATAGTGAAATTAGTGGGGTGGTTCCTCCTGCAGCTGTGCTGGTGGTGAATGAAAACAAACTAAGAGGGGTGAGGGACGCAGGAAAGAAATGACACAAGCAGGTCCCACACAGATCTGGAAAGTGGTATGTGTGAGCCACACAGACAGTGAAGAATACAGTACAATTCCCACATCCACAAGAGAGTCATCTCCGGATGTCACAAAACCATGGATGACACTAAACCCAATTGAAATGAAAGGGTTCTAGCATAAGCAATCAATAGAGCAGTGATTCTCAATCTTTGGTCTTTCACGTGTTTGGTCTTCAAGTCCCAGAAATCCCAGACAGCTGACCAGCTGTTAGGAACTGTGGGAGCTGAAGTCAAAAACATCTGGAGGACCAAAGATTGAGAAGCACTGCCATAAAGTCATGTTGTAGGACCTACAAAATGCCAAAAGGATGCATTTTGTCAGATGTGGATGAATGAAACCAAGGATATTGGTGGCCTGTGGAAACAGGGTTGTACTGCAGCTACTGTTAATAATCTGAAAGGATAAATATATGGACTCTCTCCCCTCAGCAGTGCATATCTGGGATTACCTTTCTCTGTAACAACAACAACAAAAAAAAAACCCATGATGGGAATCTCCATGGAAAATATTAACATAATTAAGGAGTGTGAAAGAGAATGAGGTTAAGACAAGTTCACACAACTGAAAACTTTCCCTAAGCTTTCCATTATGTTCAGACAGGTTTACAACAGTGAGTCTAATGTGTGCTTATTTTAGCTATGCAAATAGAAACCTTGGGCAAGTTAGTGATATGGAAATAGGCAACTATGACATTTCAAAGGCAATCTGATTTGGCAGTCGTATTTGGCTTTACTCTTAGAGGCTGTTTCAGATACAGGATTCCACCCAATTATATTTATAGTAGTAGAGCTCCCACAGAACTCCTACTATATCACTTAGTTGGGTTGCAGTTCTATCTCTAAGAAGTCACATTACTCTACTTCAGCATAATGATATTTCCATTCCTCCTCTGCTGAATATCTCTAAATATACAGATCAATAGCTAATGTGTTATTAAATCACAGAGGTTTCAATTGGAAAATCCTAATAAAAAGATATTCTTTTGAAAACGAACTACTAGCTCTATTTTTATATAAAGGCAGGAGCATGTACTCTCAAAACACAGGTACGCTTTATAGTCTTTGGAACAGCAACATGTTTTTGTTAAGGGCAGAGTAATTAGGAAATGTTAAGTCCCACTTTTCCTAAATCCTTGTTTAGGTCAATTGGACTTAATGTCTTGCAGCTTTAGAGATTTTGTCATACACTTCTGGAAAAGCATGAGTACACTGTAGCTCCTTCCTCAGCTTCTGGTAAAGGGAGCCATCAAACATTTCCCAGAATTCCTCACGAGTCATATAACAATCTGCATACAACATCTGAAAACTGAAGGAAATGAGAAAAGGTTCTTAGTAATGTTGCATTAAATTTGGCAGAAACTATGGGCTGTTTCATGGAACAAGCTGTTCTGTCAGTACAAATTTCACTTGAGCAGGTCTGGTCCTATTTGCTAAAACCACTCACTCACAGATGCACACAAGTGCAAGATGTTTTTAAAGATACATTTCAGATTGTTCAGGAGTCCAAATATAAAAAGATCTGGAGTGTTTATAAATAACAGGCTGAAATCCTGCACCAGAGGCATACAATTACCCTTCCTACATTTGCAATTTTGACTTTTGCAGACTTGATTGTTCACAGATTTGATTAACCATGTTCTAAGAATCTCTAGATCCTTTGGTATGACTTTGTGATCAATGTCCTCTAATCATGCTAAAGGACTGAGAGATTTCTGGAGAGAACACATCTCAAGGAATTTCTAACTATTCCAATGCAGTTCTATGTTTTTCCTCTAACAGAAGTCAACTACAAAGTCATGCTGGAAGATCTAGAAATTCTTAGAGAGGTGTTCTCTTGGGTTAAAAAAAGCAATTTCTTTATTTGCACCTTCTGAAATGGATGGTAATCCTGTGCCCCTAACTCCAGCAAATGCAGAGGGTTGAGTGTACATACAATGTCATCACTATATGGTATCTCCTGATCTGAACCCTGAATTTCACCTAAAAAACTAGGAGCGCCCAGTAGTATCAGTGGGTTCAACGCTTGTGCCAGCAGGCCTGCTGACTGAAAGGTTGGCGGTTCGAATCCGGGGAGCGGGGAGAACTCTTGTCTGTCAGCTACAGGGACATGAGAGAAGCCTCCCACATGGATGGTAAACAATCAAACATCCAGGGGTTCCCCGGGCAATGTCGTTGCAGATGGCCAATTCTCTCACACCAGAAGCGACTCGCATTTCTCAACTCGCTCCTGACATCAAAAAAGAAGCCCTAAAAAACCAGTCAGAAATCCTGGATGACAAGTGTGCTAGAGAGCCTGAAACAACAAGATGATGTGAAAAGCCCCCTATGAGCATGAAGGTTTCCCCTGACATTAAGTCTAGTTGTGTCCAACTCTGGGGGTTGGTGCTCATCTCCATTTCTAAGCCAAAGAGCCGCCGTTGTCCAAAGACACCTCCAAGGTCATGTAGCCGGCATGACTGAATTGAGCACCGTTATCTTCCCACTGGAGGGAAACCTACTGATTTATTCATATTTACATGTTTTCGAACTGCTAGGTTGGCAGAAGCTGGGGCAAACAGCGGGAGCTCACCCCGCTCCCCGGATTCGTTTCGCCAATCTTTCGGTCAGCAAGTTCAGCGGCTTAATTCACTGTGCCACCAGAGGGCCTGGTGATGATACTATTTGACAATCAATTCAATAGATGCAGATATTGGGAATCCCTGGCCATATTGATAGGAAGATTTGGGAAGACATAGTTCAAAAAACTCACTTTTCAAAGCACTACCTCAATAAAATAAAAAAGTAAACTTAATGAAAGCTAATACCCACCTAGGTTAACAATCATGCAATATTATAATGTAATAAGGCTGAAAAAGCAACTACCAGAAAGTTTCTGTAACATGAGGGGGAAAAAACCCTTTTCAGGATTTAGATCCTTACCCATGAACATTCCTCACAAACTTTTCTAGTTGCCTGGTGGTAGCCATGGCTTCAAAATGTTTTGTTCTTGGCTCTCCATAGGCTCCAACGTCCACATAGAGCTCGGTTTCGTTTCCTTTAGGATGAATCATGCCTGGGTTATTAGGTAATTTGAAGGGACACAGCCATAGTGGATAAACCTGGAGAAAACAGAAAAAGGGAAAAAATGATGCAGTATGAGTTTACAGCTACTACAAGAAAATGATTTCCCTTCCCTTCTGAATCCTCTAAGTTAGCATGCATTCCCCTTTAACAGGTATCTGCTATAAAGAACCAGCTCACATTCAGGAACAATTCTTACTTTAATGTCACTGTGAAAAGCTTCAATACACTGCTCAAGGCTTTTCATGGGGATCATCATATCTTGCACTACATGATGCTGTTCATAAAGCTTTCGAATTCCTTCTCCTTGAGTCAGTTTTAAAAGGGAGATTTTAGGAGGAACCATCCAGCCAAACAGGTAGCGGAAAAAAGGGTTATTGCCAAAAGGAATGATATCCTGCAAGAGAGAAATGCAAACACAGAGAAATGGTACATTTCCACTGATTTCAGAAAGACGTGAACTACCCATGCTATGCTGGTTGGGAGATTCTGCATTCTACAATAATTATTTTTAAGCAAATTTAGAATTAAGCTTTAAAAAAAAACGTAAGGACTGAATTCATTGCTACTAACACTAGACCTTCGGAAATAAATAGAGTATTTGCTAGTGACAAATTGCTCAAAAAGAACTGGTGTTTGGACAACTGTGAGGTACCAAAGGGTGCATCCATATTCTAGAATTAATGTTGTTTGACGTTACTGTAATGGCCATTTTTAAAAATAGTGTCAGAAGCAAATTAAGAACATACTGCAAGTCGCTTCTAGTGTGAGAGAATTGGCTGTCTGCAGAGACGTTGCCCAGGGGATGCTGGATGTGTTACCATCCCATGGAAGGCTTCTCTCTTGTCCCTGCATGGGAAGCTGGAGCTGAAAGATGGAAGCTCACCCTGTCTCGTGGATTCGAACCGCCTACCTTCAGGTCAGCAGTTCAGACGGCACAAGGGTTTAACCCATTGCGCCACCATGTTTCCCCTGTAATGGCCATAGCTTAATGTTATGAAATCCTGGGGTCTGTAGTTTGCTGAGGTTCCAGCAAACTTTGGCACTGAAGGCTAAAGACAAAACTACAACTCCTAGGATTACATAGTATTGAGACATGGCAGTTAAGGGGGTGTTGAATGGCATTAATTCTACAATGCAGAGACACCTTCAGAAACAGAGGGTGCCCTGCCAGAATTTGTGCAGTTATTTTTCCTTCACTTAAAGCAAGTAACAAATGTGCATACAAAAGTGCATTTGCATGAATTATAGCCTTACCTGGAGCTCCCAGAAAATGCTTCGTGTATGCCTGTGATAATAATGTCTGGCTGGGATATATTCCATTCCTGTTGTGTTGGTCTTCAGATAGTTCTCCACATGCCTAAAAAACCATGGCTTGTAGAAGTTTCCAATTTTATTAACCTTAACAGAGTGAAACGGGACTTTAATAAAAATGAGCAAGAACACTGCTTGATGGTTTTTGTGGTTCTATGAGAGAGTTGCAATTATAGTTAAAATGAAAGAAACACTTCTAATGTTAGGTGTGGTCAAAGGCAGTATTGAGATGCAATTCCAGAAATGTACTACATGTACAGATATCTAATGCAGTTCATTCAGCAGCATATTTAGTACAGATGATTTGTCACGTATGATTAATGTCAGGAATCATTTCTGTGGGTTGTGACTATCCAGAATGCCAATATTGTGCATCTTTTCTAGCAAGGAGAAAAGGATTTCACTAGACACATCCCATTCCAAATGATCAGTACACATTTCACTTGATGAATTATTCAATTAGATTTTAATAAAAACGGATTGCAATAGCTTGCCACAGAAAGTTGTGTTCTCAAAAAACACTCAAAATTGCATGTTTTATCATAGTGAAAGATTCAACACACTGTATGTTGAAGATGCCAGCCACAGATGCAGGCAAAATATTAAGAGAAAATGCTGCTAGAACATGGCCATATATTCCGGAAACCACACAACACCCCATTCAACACACTGCTTCCTACTATTCCTATAAAAAGTATTTGGCTCCTTCTACACTGCCATACAACTGGATTATATGAGTCTACACTGCCAAATAATCCAGTTCAAAGCATATAATCTAGATTTTATATGGCAGTGTAGAGGTGGCCTCTGAAACCTTCAAGTAGAAGATTGCTCATGGAACACGGAGCTCCAGGTTCCCGCAAATGCAAATTTTTCTTCACTCCAAAAATTAGTTCCAGAAAGTTGAGTCTCTCTGAATCAATACAAGAAAATAACATGACAAAAAGCAGGGGGAAACTGATGAAAGTCACCTCTCTTTCTGTTTGGAGAAATCCTCCTGGATTGGTGACTGTAATGGCTCAAAAACAACAACAACAACAACAAAAACCCTCACAAGGAATTGGAAAGACTTTAATAAACTGGAATGGGAATTTTTTGACCCAAGTGTTGCATTAAGGCTGGTAGATAAATCTGCGGTTGCAGCCTAGCAACTCTATCTTATTTACTGTCCTTATATACATGGCGCACATTCTTGTACACAAATGTTCACAAGCTGTCTTTTACAGATTGTCATCAGGCTTTTCAAAAGCTTTCATGAGCATCAGTACAAAATTGGTAAGTCACATTTTAGCAGCCTCTAAAATTAGCCTTTTGAAATAAGCCTTTTGTGAAGGTGATGAAGGTTTTTTAAGAGCCTTAATAGTGGTGCAGTGTGACAAGGTTAGTTAAGAAGGCCTGTTGGTTACCCCATGAAGGCCAAAGGTTCCTAATTCTTGCTTTAAAGTGAAGTGGGCAAATCCTGCCAAAGAGGTAGCTGATGCTATTGTGCCATTTTGGGATGAAATGGATTACTGGAAGTTAGAATTTCCAGGTTATTCAAAGGGCAATTGACTCCTTCAAACAAGGTGAGCAGGGTTCCCTAATTTGACAGGTACAACTGAAACTCAGAAACCACAAATGCCATCCATTCCAAACCCCTGCCATGCAGGAATATACAACTCAGTGCTTTGATTGTTTGCTCCTGCATGGCAAGGGGTTGGCCTGGATGGTCCTTTTGGTCTCTCCTGGTTTTATGATATCAACCATGGAAACTACTGCAAGTTAGGCTACGATCCAGATAATTCTCCCAACTTTTGCTAAATGACAATGGGAAGGATGCTTTAGGTTCGGTTTTGATAAGATGCAGCTCTCCATATATTTTTGAATTGTGACTCCCATCAGCTCTAGCTAGCATAACAAATGAGGAAAAAATGATTCCAACAGCATCTACAGGGCCACAAGTTCCTTATCTCTATTCAAAAAGAATGCATTGTATATATCAAAATGACTAACCTAGAGAGAATATAAGGATTTGTAGATATGATAAATATTCTAAGTATGTGGAGTTGTTTCCAAGTCTAATCTATTGGACTTTCTACCCTGCCTGCTTCATCATAACAGAAGAACGGATATGGCATTTTACCTTGCGCGTGTCAGCATTATTCGTCAAAACTCCTGTCATTATGACAGCTTCATCCAAAGAATACACCAGACCCTCCACGAAATGATTCTCTTTATTCGCTGATTCTTCAGCAAATTTCTTGCAGATTGCCTTTAGTCCTCTTACAGGCTCATAAAATAATTTCACATAGTTCTTAGCTGGGATCATTTTTATTTCTGCTGCAACTAGGAAGCCTAAGGTTCCATATGACCACGGTACTGCATAAAATAAATCAGAGTTCTCCTCCTACAGAAAATACAAAAGTCAGTCAAAAGTTGGCCAAGAACAAGCAGGTCTTCATAAACCATTGCAATGTAACATCTTATCTTACCGGTGTACATCTCACATGGCTTCCGTCAGCAAGAACAAGTTCATAGGCCACACAGGTATGCTGAAACAGTCCATAGATGTGGGAAGAACTTTCAATGCCAGTCCCCATGATCAAGCCCCCTAAGTAAAAGATAACACATAATTATTAAAAGGAATTATGTTACAAATTTATGCAGAAATACATTAACTAACAATAGAATTCTGGGGCTGGTACAAGTCCTGCATTACCACCAAAAAGTTTGATTAGGGGTGATTTTGAAAATGAAGCATAATAAATAACTGTACCATTTTTTTTAAAAGAGAAACACAAAGTACAGTTAAGTGCCATGTATACTCACCTACTGTAAGATCATCAAGCTCTGGTACTACTGGAATAGTCCAGCCCATGGGATTAAGGTGTGCTGTTAACTGTCCCATTGAAACCAAGGGTTCCACACGAACAACCTATGGAAGAATACATTTTAGACATTATGCTACTAGAAAGCCACCAATGATTAAGACTCTGTGGCATGAACATGGGGATTTGTCAGACTTGGCCATGGTAGTCCATGCTTTGGTTACATCCCGAATAAACTACTGCAACATGCTCTATGTGGAGCTGCCTTTGAAGACTGTTCAGAAGCTACAAATGGTCTAATGAATGGCAGCCAGATTGCTTACCAGAGCGGCGTACAGAAAGCATACAACCCCCGTTACGTCAGCTCCACTGGATGCCAATCTGCTACTCAGTACAATTCAAAGTGCTGGCTTTAGTCTATAAATCCCTAAAAGATTCTGGCCCAGCTTATCTGTCTGAACATCTCTCTATGAACCACCGCGGAGTTTAAGATCATCAGAGGGGGCCCTGCTATCGGTCCCACCTTCCTCGCAGGAGCAACTGGCAGAGACGAGAGACAAGGCCTCAGTGGTGGCTCCTCGGCTGTGGAACTCCCTCCCCAGGGATATTAGATCAACCCCCTGCTTCCTGACCTTCTGAAAAATGTGGATTCGTGATCAAGCCTTTAGAGAACTTATTCAATAGACAGACTTGGAACAATGTGCAATGACCATTGGAATGGCCTGGTTTACGCTTGTGGATTATGTGTTTAACTCTGAATGTATTTTTTTAAATGTTTTAATTGTTTTTAATGTACTCTTAAATTCTATTTTAATGATTATTTAAGTGTACATTGTGTTTTAAAGCATCAAATCATTGCCTGTATGTAAAGCCACCTTGAGTCCCCTCCAGGGTGAGAAAGATGGGGTAGAAATGGCGTAAACAAATAAATAAGTTGTGTAGTATTTCAGCTATGCATATATACATTTTCCTCTCCAGTACTGGCTCTATCCCTAGATCTTTTTTACTGGGCAGAAGATCTGAAACAGGGTCATGTTGTGGAAATTCCTGTACTCAATTGCAAGTTCTTATCATACAGTATTTCTAATCAATTAAAGTAACCTTTCTGCATTCAGATTATCAAACTCCACCCCCTTCATTGAACACCCCCCCCCCCCAAATACATGAAAATCCAGTGGTGCAGCTGATAGGGATTCTAAAGGCGGGGCGGGACAAAATCACCCAGGACTTAACACTCTTAAAACTAAAGCAATATCTGTGCTCCCATCCTGGATAGCCTACAAGTAGTAAACACTAGTACAGTGTTTATCATTCTATCTGATGTTGAAGACCAGCAGTTTTCCTGACTTTTCTGTCTTTCTAACGTGCCAGGGACCTCATTAGTACCAGATTTTAGTTCAGCGGATACAACTGCTTTTGGGGTTTTTTTCTGTACTGGAAATTTGCCACAGATTGGCAACCAATAGCTGGTGGACTGTTATTGGTCCGTGGACTACCACTTTGAATAGTAAAACCTGGCTCTCTAGTAAAGAGTGGAACATAGGATATGTTACCTCCTGCAAAATTCCAGATTGCCTCACAAAGTTAGTGTGGCAACCCTACTGCTGTAGAGAAAAAATTCTGCTACAGCCCCTGGATTTCTCTAGAAGGCTAAATTCTCTTCTCCATGTCATCATTTGCCAGAAGGGTTTGCTTTTAACTACACTTGAATTGGGGGGGGGGGGGGGGAATGAAGGAAGACAGGAGAAACACAGACTTTTGATGCCGAGTTGCAGCAGGAAGTTTGCAATACACAATGCAATAATTTTTGCCTTCTTAGCCCACCAGTTGCATGGAAGTGCTTCTGATCAGTTGAAAGGCATGCTCATCCGCTTTTGACCTGTGAGAAAGTAGACCGGGAGCTGTTTTCACATGCTCTCAGTAAGGAGGATTGAGATTCAAATGCAGACAGCAGCTGGGAAATAGAGGTAGAGAGAATCCAGTTTTCTAGTCATTGGAGCCAAATGAACTTATGTGTGTTTTGCTGAAAGTCTTACTCCTTATCATGCTCTCAAGAAAGCAGTGTCACCTTTGATATGCTGAGTATTTTTAAAAAATCAGCATTTGATTTGGGGCACAATGTATCAGCAACCCCAAACACTCATACCTCCCTGATACTGCTTTCTCTCTTTCCCAATGATGCCACGTATAAAACCCAGCTCCACATAGTCGTTACAGTCAAACGTGACTCTTTTCTGTCTTTCTAACATGTGATTTCAGTTCTAAATGACTGAATGCTTAGTGACTGGCAGTAAGAGCTTTAAATTAAAATATATTGGTATTCTGGTCTCCTCCCTTTTGCCTTTGGTCTTACCTACCACATGAAACCTGCACCTAAGATGTCCTCTGAAATTAAATTTGGTACTTGAGGTGAAATCAAAATCCATTTTCAAAGGAAGGCTAAACTTCAAACGTACCTGTCTTTCAGGGTCTACCTCTAATATATCCATCAAGTTGATTGTTATGTTTTTCAGAATTTTCTTGTACTTCCCAACACGAAGCGATATTGTGAGCCAGCCAGGGCGGCCTGTGCACATATATGTTTTCTGGCCTTCATTTTTCCATTCTTGAACCTGCAAGACAGGAAGATTAGTTCAATCCCCTCAGGTAATTCAATGTCTCTATGTCAGAGAAGTCCAAATATTCTCTGGCTTAAAGCTGTTTCCAAATGACAGGTTACTAAACAGATTTTTTTTAAATGACTTTTATGTTCACATTTTTCCTGGGAATGAGTTCTACAGAACACAATAAAAATTCCAAGGAAATGTATAAGATTGTGTTATTAATGAATTAGGCCAACAGCTGATAAAACCACATAATAAAGAGACTTTCAAAAACATATTTCTGAACTACAACATTAAGAACTGAGGGGCATACTCTAAAAAGAAACTTTTCCAAGCACTGGACATAACATAAAAAGATAAAGGTTTCCCCTTGACATTAAGTCTAGTTGTGTCCGACTCTGGGGGATGGTGCTCATCTCCATTTCTAAGCCGAAGAGCTGGCGTTGTCCATAGACACCTCCTAGGTCATGTGGCCATCATGACTGCATGTAGAGCTGTTACCTTCCTGCTGGAGCGGTACCTATAGATCTACTCACATTTGTATGTTTTCAAACTGCTAGGTTTGCAGAAGCTGAGGCTAACAGCGGGAGCTCACCCCGCTTCCCTGATTCCAACCGCCGACCTTTTGGTAAGCAAGCTCAGAGGTTTAACCTGCCTCACCACCAGGGGCTCCAGTGGACATAGCATAATGCACTATATTAAGTACGGTAAGTTTTTATAATGTAGGCTTAAGTGACACATAGTATCACAATCACTAAATTAATTTAGTACTCAGTTAACTAGCATCCATGGGGGCTGGTAATGTAGTTTCTGGTCACTTGAGAGTTACTATTAAAAATGGAACCAATACTATATTACAGGCATGGGCAAACTTCGGCCCTCCAGGTGTTTTGGACTTCAACTCTCTCAATTCCGAACAGCCGAATTGTGAGAGTTGAAGTCCAAAACACATGGGGGGCTGAAGTTTACCCATGCCTGCTATATCCCATATGATACCATGCCACAAACTCTATATTGACCTGATATTTATACTGAAACACAGCAATTAAAAGCAAATTAAGATATAATATAATATAATATAAAATTAACTTAATGTAACACAGTTTTCCTGTATTATAAATACAGCTTTGTGAATGCACTTTTATTTCTTCAATTTTTTTGCTGATTGCTTGAATTTCGGTCAGTGGAGAGTCTAATGCAGGAGTCCTCAAACTTTTTAAGCAGAGGGCCAGGTCACAGTCCCTCAAACTGTTAGAGGGCCGGATTATAATTTGAAAAAAAGATGAATGAATTCCTATGCACACTGCACATATCTTATTTGTGTTGCAAAGAACACTTAAAAACAATACAATAATTAAAATGAAGAACAATTTTAACTAATATAAACTTCTTAGCATTTCAATGGGAATTGTGGGTCTGCTTTTGACTGATGAGATGGGATTATTGTTCTTGTTGTGTGCTTTCAAGTCATTTCCGACTTAGGTTAACCTTGAGCGAGGGTCAGGTAAATGACCTTGGAGGGCTGTATCCGGCCCTCAGGCCTTAGTTTGAAGACCCCTGGTCTAATGTATATGATGTAAGTTAAACATGCATTATGATAAAATATAAAATAGCATATTGTCTTGTGATTTTGTATGACATTCAAATGACAGGAGCTCCTGGTGGCGCAGTGGATTAAACCCCTGTGCCAGCAGGACTGAAGACCGACAGGTCGCAGGTTCGAATCTGGGGAGAGGCGGATAAGCTCCCTCTATCAACTCCAGCTCCTCATGCAGGGACATGAGAGAAGCCTCCCACAAGGATGATAAAAACATCAAATCATCCAGGCATCCCCTGGGTAATGTCCTTGCAGACGGCCAATTCTCTCACACCAGAAGCGACTTGCAGTTTCTCAAGTTGCTCCTGACATAAAAAAAAAAAAGATGGCTGAAAATGTGGAAGTCACTTTTATCAAAAGGCATCAGGTCTATCCGACTGGCAAAGTCTTGCATTTAATTCATCATGAGATTCTTTCTATTTATACAAAAGCAAAATTCAAAATTGTTTATGATTACTGAAGAAAAGGACAGTAATCTGACTTTGTCTTACCTCTGCCAGTCCCAAACAAGATAGTATTTTAATATTTCAATATTTTAAAATATTTTACTGTCCTTTTTAAAATTTATTATTTGAAATATAGCAATTCTAGTGGGGTCACATCTTTTTTTTAACCACTGCTAACACAAGCTCTACAAGGGTTCCACCATTGTACTTACTTATCCCAGTTAACTGACAAAATGATTCAGTGTGGATGGTATTGTTTAACTGAGCAAGGACCATTCAGCTGGCATTGCTCTTACATGGTGTTGCCAGCTGGCATTGCTCTTGCATGGTGTGCTTGGTGCTTTTGAATTTGCATCACTAGGATCTCTGTTAGTACAGAGAAGACTGGACAATCTCTAGTCTGGGGGAAAGGGAGGAACTGTAATCCTCTCAATCTAACCAGATTCCAGCCTCCATCACTCCTTGCCATAAATTATGCTAACTAAACTACAGGAATCTCTTTCCCTGAAGTTTGAATCTGCTGCAGGAAAAGACCCATCCAAAGCTAAAGACCTTCTAAAACTAGATTAACATCTAGTGTCAACTTGTCTGACATCCAGTAACCAGGACATGCCCTGCCTAGCTTCCAAGGTAAGAAAATATCTTAGCCTTTAGGGTAGGCCTGCACAATCTGTAGCCCTCCAAAGAAGCACTAGATAGCTTGTCCAATGGTTAGGAATACTGGTAGCTAAAGTCCAAATCATCTGGAGTGCCAAAGCTTGTAGAGGTCTGCTTCTAGAAACCCCGAATATCTGTTGCCACTAAAGACAGACAAAACTATGGCAGATGAACAAATATTCTGACCAGCCCTGTGCCTTACTATTGTACTTCCTTATCCCAGCCATGGAATTGGTGTGAAACTGCACTAAATCACCAGTGTAGATGCACCTAAGGCTACAGACGTATAAAAGAATCATTGAAGTGGAATGAAACAGCAATAACTCTCCAGTGTAGATGCACCCAAGGCTCGAGACTTAGAAAAGAATGAGCTGCGGCGGTTAAAGTGGCGTGAAATTGCACTTAAATCTCAAGCGTAGATGCACCAAAGGCTAGAGGCTGATAAAAGGATGAGCCATGGGAGTTAAAATGGTTTCACACTGCACTAATTCTCCAGAGTAGATCCACCTAAGGCTAGTGATGTATAAAAGAATGAGCTGTGGCAGTTAAAGTGGTGTCAAACTGCACTAAATCTCCAGTGTAGATGCACCTAAGGTGAGAGACATATAAAACAATGAGCTGTGCAGTGAAAGTGGTGTCAAACTGCAATAAGTCTCTAGTGTAGATGCACCCAAGGCTAGAGACTTAGGGAAAAAAGGAGACGGCAGTTAAAGCAGTGTGAAACTGCACTTAAATCTTGAGGGTAGATGCACCTAAGGTTAGAGGTGTATAAAATGATATGTGGAATTTAAAGTGGTGTGAAATTGCAATAAGTATCCAGTGTAGATGCACCCAAGGCTAGAGACTCAGAAAAGAATGAGCTGTGACAGTTAAAATTGTGTGAAACTGCACTTAAATCTCAAGTGTAGATGCATCAAGGCTAAAAACTGATAAAAGAGTGAACTATGGCAGTTAAAGTGGTGTCAAACTGCATTAAATCTCCAGTGTAGATGCATCTAAGGCTAGAGAAGTATAAAAGAATGAGCGGTGGCAGTTAAAGTGGCATGAAAGTGCAATAAGTCTCCAGTGTAGATACACATAAGGCTAGAGACTTATAAAAGAACGCGCTGTAGCAGTTAAAGTGGTGCAAAACTGCAGTAAACCTACAGTACACTCAAGGCTAGACACTTATAAGGCAGTAAAAGTGGTGTGAAACTGCACTAGACCTATAGTGCACATGCAGCCAAAGCTAGAGACTTATAAAAGAGTGTACAGAGGCAGTAAAAGTGGTATCGAAGTGCACTACATCTCCAGCGTAGATGCACCCAAGGCTAGAGACTGAGAAAAGTGAGCTGTGGCAGTTAAAGTGGTGTGAAGTTGCACTAAAGCTCCAGTGTTGATGCACCCGAGGTTAGAGGCGTTTAAGTGGCTGTTAAAGTGGTGTCAAACCGCACTAAAGCTCCAGTGTAGATGCACCCAAGGCTAGAGGCGAGGAGAAGAGTGAGCGGTGGCGGTGCAAGTGGTGTGTTCGTGCAGGAGACCTTTCCCTCCCTGCCTGCCTGCCTCACCTGCTCCTGGATGTGGCGGACCCGCTGGTGGTGGAGGCGGGGCGCGCTGTGCATCCTCTGCACGGCCCAGGCGCGGAGCTGGTAGTAGATGTCGAAGAGGACGGAGAGGGGCAGGAGGAAGAGGCAGACGAAGACCCAGCGGTGGTGGACCAGGACGTAGCCCAGGCCCTTGTAGCGCGCCCACAGGAGGAGCAGCAGGAGCCCCGCGCCCAGCGACAGCAGCGGGCCCATGGCGGGCGGCTCACAGGGCGCCCGCCACCCGTCCTCCGCCCAGCCGGTCAGCCGCCTTCTCCGCCCAGCGCTTGGCTCTCTGGAGAGGGCCCCTCAGGAGCCCCGCGAAGCCCTCCTCCCGCTCGGCGCGCTCCACCACTTCCCTCTCCACGCGGAGCACCTCGCTGGGCCGGCCCGCCACGCACACGCACACGAACACCAGCGACAGCACGCGCTCCACCAGGCTGCCCATGCACCGGGCAACCTTCCCTCGCGAAAGCCCTCACAACTCTGGGCACCCGGCGACGCTGGAAAGGGAGACCCCCAAAGGAGGCCGCCCACCTCTCTCCCCATTGGCCGAGGCGCTCGCTCAGCGGTGAGGAGAGGGACGGCGTCCAACCAATCGCGGCGCTCCGTTTGGATCGGATCAGGCGACCGCGCCGCGGGATTGGCCCAAAGAGTCCAAATTGGAAAAAAAAAAAGGGCCGGCGAGGGGCGGGCCTACGAGTGTGTTGCCCAGCCCGCGTGCCTGCGAGTGGCACGAGGCTGGCGCGCGGGGCTGGGGGGTCTCCCGCTGTTCTCGCGCCGCGGCGGTTTTTTTGTTTTCCAGTCAGAATGTGAACAATCGTGGTCGCATCCTGGGAGCAGCCTCCCTGTTCCTGACCTAAGGGAACGCGTCTACTGCAGTATTAATAATAATAATAATATTGCCAGTAAAGGTGATCAAATATTATAATACAATATAATACTAAGAATATAATAATAATAATAATAATAATAATAATAATAATAATAATAATAATAATAATGTATTTTACATTACACTAGCCGTCCCCTGCCACGCGCTGCTGTGGCTCAGTCTGTGTATATGTGTTTTGTGTGTGTATATATGCATATATGTGTGTATATATGTGTGCATATGTGTATATATGTGTTTGTGTATATATATGGTTTTTGCGCATGTGTTGCAATGCATTTTTTGTTTTGTGGCTTTTTAAGTCTCTTCTATGTTTTTCAGTGTTTTTATGAGTGATCATAGAATCAAGAGTTGGAAGAGACCTCATGGGCCATCCAGTCCAACCCCCTGCCAAGAAGCAGGAATATTGCATTCAAATCACCCCTGACAGATGGCCATCCAGCCTCTGTTTAAAAGCTTCCAAAGAAGGAGCCTCCACCACACTCCGGGGCAGAGAGTTCCACTGCTGAATGGCTCTCACAATCAGGAAGTTCTTCCTCATGTTCAGATGGAATCTCCTCTCTTGTAGTTTGAAGCCATTGTTCCGCGTCCTAGTCTCCAGGGAAGCAGAAAACAAGCTTGCTCCCTCCTCCCTGTGGCTTCCTCTCACATATTTATACATGGCTATCATATTCTCTCTCAGCCTTCTCTTCTTCAGGCTAAACATGCCCAGCTCTTTAAGCCGCTCCTCATAGGGCTTGTTCTCCAGACCCTTGATCATTTTAGTCGCCCTCTCTGGACACATTCCAGCTTGTCAATATCTCTCTTCAATTGTGGTGCCCAGAATTGGACACAATATTCCAGGTGTGGTCTAACCAAAGCAGAATAGAGGGGTTGCATGACTTCCCTGGACCTAGACATTATGCTCCTATTGATGCAGGCCAAAATCCCATTGGCTTTTTTTGCTGCCACATCACATTGTTGGCTCATGTTTAACTTGTTGTCCACGATGGTCACTCTTTGGCCTGAGAAGTGTATTGTGTCCAAATTTGGTGTCAATTCGTCCAGTGGTTTTTGAGTTATGTTAATCCCACTAACGAACATTACATTTTTATTTATATAGATGTAATATTACTAACAAAATACCTGGGAATTACCCTGGATCGTGCTCTGACTTACAAGAAGCACTAATTGACTATCAAGCAACAAGTGAATGCTAGGAATAATGTCATACGAAAGCTGACTGGCACAACCTGTGATTCACAACTAGATACAGTGAAGACATGTGCCCTTGCGCTTCGCTACCCTGCTGCTGAATATGCATACCCAGTGTGGAATAAATCTCACCATGTGGATGTGACTCTTAATGAGACTTGCTGCATTATCACAGGATGTCTATACCCTACACCACTGAAGAAATTATACTGTTTTGCTGGTATTGCACCACCCAACATCCACTGGGAAGTATCAGCCAGTAATAAAAGGACCAAGGCATTGACATCTCCGGCCCATCCTCTGTTCGGATATCAGCCAGCAAGCGAACATCTTAAATCAAGAAATAACTTCCTAAGGTCTACAGAGATCCTTGCAGGAACACCTAAGCAAGCGAGAGTCCAAAAGTGGCAGGTTAAGACCCGGAATCTCAATCAGTGGCTGATACTGGATGGGGAACTCCCTCCTGGGCACATGGAAGATTGGGCGACTTGGAAAGGGCTGAACAGTCTGCGCTCTGGCACCATGAGATGCAGAGCCAACCTTAAGAAATGGGACTACAAAGTGGAGTCCACAACATGCGAGTGTGGAGAAGAGCAAACCACAGACCACTTACTACAATGCAGTCTGAACCGTGCCACATGCAACCTTCTCACACAGACACCAGAGACACTCCAAGTGGCCAGTTTCTGGTCAAAGGAATTTTAGTATAATGCCAAGTTTTTAACTTTGTTTGTTGAGTTCCAGGGCCAGAGAAGCAGATGGCGGAAACAGAAGAACGGCCTGCCTCAGGGGAGCGTGCTTGCTCCATCCATGTTCAACATCTACACAAATGACCAGCCACTGCCAGAAGGGACAGAGAGTTTCATCTATGCTGATGATCATGCCATTACTGCTCAAGCAGGGAGCTTTGAGATGGTTGAACAGAAGCTCTCCGAAGCTCTAGGTGCTCTTACTGCCTATTACAGGGAAAACCAACTGATCCCTAATCCATCTAAAACACAGACATGTGCCTTTCACCTTAAGAACAGACAAGCATCCCGAGCTCTGAGGATTACCTGGGAAGGAATCCCACTGGAGCATTGCAGCGCACCCAAATACCTGGGAGTCACTCTGGACCGTGCTCTGACCTACAAGAAGCACTGCTTGAACATCAAGCAAAAAGTGGGTGCTAGAAACAATATCATACGAAAGCTGACTGGCACAACCTGGGGATCACAACCAGATACAGTGAAGACATCTGCCCTTGCGCTATGCTACTCTGCTGCTGAGTACGCATGCCAGTGTGGAACACATCTCACCACACTAAAACAGTGGATGTGGCTCTTAATGAGACATGCCGCATTATCACGGGGTGTCTGCGCCCTACACCACTGGAGAAATTACACTGCTTAGCCGGTATTGCACCACCTGACATCCGCCGGGAAGTTGCAGCCAATAGTGAAAGGACCAAGACAGAGACATATCCAGCTCATCCCTTGTTTGGGTATCAGCCAGCACGTCAACGACTTAAATCAAGAAATAGTTTTCTTAGATCTACAGAGACACTCGCTGGAACACCTCAGCAAGCGAGAGTCCAAAAGTGGCAGGCTCAAACCCAGAACCTCAATCAATGGCTTATACCAAATGAGAGATTCCCTCCTGGGCACACAGAAGACTGGGCGACTTGGAAGGCACTGAACAGACTGCGCTCTGGCACCACGAGATGCAGAGCCAATCTTAAGAAATGAGGCTACAAAGTTGAATCCATGACATGCGAGCAGGGCCGTAGCCAGAAAAAAAAATTCAGGAGGGGTTGAAAATTTTGCGGGGGGGGGGGGATCTGAAACCTGCCTCCTAGCTCACGCTGAAGCAAAGAGCACAGCAGGGGGCAGAGCAGCCTTCAATAGCCTGCAGCTCCGCCCCTGTCAACCACCTCCACCAAGTCTGGCCTCCTTAATGAGAGCATTCAACACACACACCCCCAACTTGGTTGCTTCGCTACATCGGCTATTGCTGAAAGTAATGACAGTGTGAATAAATTGTCAATATTTGCTTGAGATAGTGCTTGCAGTTCTGGAGGGACTCTTAATTTTTTGCATCTCATAGACTTAGCATGGGGATTTGGTTAACCAGTTAAAATTCATGAGTAAACCAGGTTTTTTAAAAAAATCTGAAACATTTCGGGGGGGGGGGGTTTGAACCCCTAAAACCACCCCCTCGCTACAGGCCTGGTTAGCAAACCACTGACCACCTGCTGCAATGCAACCTAAGCCATGCCACATGCACGATGGAGGACCTTCTTGCGGCAACACCAGAGGCACTCCAAGTGGCCAGATACTGGTCAAAGGACATTTAATCAGCTACCAAGTTTGCAAAATTTGTGGTTTTGTGTTTTTTTAAAAAATCTGTTTGTTTGTTTTGTTCTGTTAGAAATGTAATACAATGTTCTGGTTGCGGATGACACGATAAATAAATAACTTTGTTTGTTATAATTGTATTCTCAATTCGTGTTCTGACACAATAAATACATAACTGATCATTGTCGAAAGCCTGTTTGAACAATCAAGCCTTCAGATCTTTCTTGAGAGGGTGGTTGCTTGTCTGATCTCCCTGGGAAAAATGTTCCAGAGTCACAACTAAAATAAACAGTTGCTTTTCAGATAGTGTTGTGAAATGTTTTTCTTCATCAGGCTTTTTATCTGTTCACATCAGATCTTTTTCCCCCTGTCACAATATGACAACAAGAATGACTTCCCTTTCTGTGAGAATTGAGGCAGGGGAGGGATTAAAAGGACCAGCAGATTGGGAAAGCGAATGAGCATCAGTTGCCTAAAAGGGAGGAAAGGTGGCTCTGGTCCAGGCTTTGCTTGTTCCCCTCCCAGAATAAATACGACAACACATAAGAATTGTTTCACACACTTCCACCCCCAAAAACCAGCATAACCAAATATATAAGACATTTTATTTGTTAACCCACCTCTATATATATAAAAAACATAAACAAGCATGTAAAACCAAATACATTATTGTAGAGACTCATCGGGTCATATTGCACTTTGCTTGGCTCAATAAAAGTTGGCTTTCCTATCCCATTCAGGCTATATCTCATCCCCGAAGGCTTGCTTAAACATGAAGGTTCTTAGCAGCTTTTTAAAGGATGACATGGAAGGGGCTGTTTTTAATCTGGCAGTGTGGACTCGTATAATCCAGTTTAAAGCAGAAAACCTAGGATCATATCAAGGGATACAGGGCCTGTCTGGAAGGGCCCATTGTCAATACTACTTCCTAATGTTTAGGTGGACTCTCCTTTCCTGCAATTTGAATCCGTCGCTCTGTGTCCCTAGTCTCTAGAGCAGGTCTGCACAACTTGTCAGTAGAAAGGGGCTGAAATTAGATAGATCAAGCCTCTTGGGGCACAAATAGTTTTTTAGCACCTCATTCCCCAAGTAAGAT